TCATTACCTCGCGATAAGCGAAGAGGTGGACAGTGCAGCAAGACTTTGGCTTACAGTCATCCCAACGACACGGCCAGAATCTGTAGACTCGTCGTCCGAACCAATAGCAAACAGTCCAGAATAGCTCGTATCGGGCTCAAAATGCGATATGGCGTTATGGCGCAAAGACGTGCAGCGCACATGCGATGCCTAATGACGAACCACACCCAGTGCTGAGGCGGGGAGTTATTCACCCGACTTAGGCCAACCTGAACAGGCGGACTTTCGAGTCTCCCCGATCAAATCACAAAAATGTTGTTGCCTGGGAAGACAGATGTCCATCTTATCAATCATGGCGTTGTGAAAATGAACAAACTAAGATGTGTAGCATATCGATGTACGCAAGGAGCAGTGCAGATCATGGTTGTCGAAGGGCAGTCCTCGGCCCTGGTTGAGCGCTAGTCACAGATCCGGCGCATAGGCTTGGCATTGCTGAGATGAGCAAAGTGACGTGTGCACTTGTCCCACCAACTTCAGCCAACAACGGTGAACATGTCAGGCTGGCCAGTATACCACCTACAACCACGAGTTAGTGTTGAACAACGCATCCTCACCTTTGGAAACTAGCGTTCGGCGATGGCTGAATCTAGATATACCCACAAGAAGCCAGTAGGGGACTGCCCAGATGTGCTTGGGGACCACAAGTCCGCGCTCCGGACGCCTTGGTGCTTCACCGATTGAGAAGCAATGTTGATATTTACGACGGACTGGCAGCGGAGCGACCGTGTACAGGTCTTGCTTGGGCCAAAGCGTGGCTGCGTTCGTCCCGCAATCTCCAAATTGGAATTGCTATTGACCTTTGTTTTGCGATAGGGCACCCCTAAGCGAATCCGCTTCTGTAAATCAACACGCGTGATGCTCCATACCTTCTTCTTTGTTTGGAAGTCTTCTAGAAGGCTTTTAGATCGAGTACTGTGTTTTATTAATTTGTAATTGCTCACGACGACCGAGGAAAGGCGAGAGCATCTATCGTTCCCTGTCAGTCATCGCGTTTCGAAATCACCACTGCCCAAAAGCATGGACAGAACCGTGGGATCCTTCAAATCCTTCATACAAACAGTACCACCAAATCCAAACACATGGAGCGACATTTCACCGTTGTCTCCAAGTGACCAGACATTACCACCATTGTTTGTGCCACCGAATCCGAAGCCGAAAGATAGCGCTGTTCATGTCACGTCCTGGAGAGCGCCTACTGATTGGAACCTAAGCTCACCTAGTCAGCCCTCTCCGAAGAATCCAGTCTCTACGGCTCGTACATTCTCTCCATTGATCCCGGAGCCTTCTCCTAGTACCTGCAGTTCAAGGGCAGAGTCTGGATCCTGGCCACTCGAGACGAGAACCTTTCAATCTCCGCGACTGCAGCCAATACATCCAATCCTCGAATGCAGACCAGAACCACCACCACTCTCGACAACATCTCCGCCTGTCCAGACGCCCTCACTTGAGGGAGACTCAAAAATTCTTCTTTCGCCTATCAGAGACAATCAACTTGTGTGTTCTTCAACTAATACTGAGGCTGCACATCCGGTTTCACACTCCCCTTTGAAGCCAGGACTACAGACCTGCGAAAATCCTTCTGCAGATACAATATATCAATTATCGGATGTATCGAGAAGAGCGAAAGCATATGTATCACTGGGAATAATGCTGCCAAGTGATACTAGAACTGGATGGCAATACTGGTCTTCCACCCCGCACGTCGACAATATTGCAGAAATATCCCGATCGTTGCAAGGAAAGATGATCCCACCATTATATCGCACAAGCCCCTTTATGGACGATGAATGCGAAGATGAGGAGCTGAGTGATAGAATGCAGCTTTTGAGCTTCTCGCAAGATTATCATGACGTGCTGGCGGATCAGTACCATGAGTGTAGGGCTCCTCGGCCTCGAAGCAGCTCGTTGAGTGCAACTTCATCAGGGTTCTTTACCTGCGGCTGCATATCCATTCCAATCTTCCGATTGAGAACACATGAGCTGTTACCAGAGCCCTTAGCATGGGGAAAAGGCTCCGGCTGGCGATCAAAGCACAAGCAATCAAACCGCTGGACATCACTACGTCAAAGTGATCGAGAGGGTAGACGACGATCTGTTGACGAAAACCTACCGCCGCGCGCTACAGAAGGATCGACATATCGACGTCGAAAGCGCATTCCTGACATAATATCTCATGCAAAAGTTCTGAGAGGGAGCAAACGACGTGCTGGGTCTATGGAACTGGCAGAGCGCAGAGACCTTTCCCAAACATCCCGAAGACTGGCTTCGGGTTCGTCTTCAGAGGGAAATGGCAGTCTTCTGATCCGACTTCCGAGAGGATTTGCCTTGGTGCGCCTGTCTCGAGCTACCACATCACACTCTGAGGCAACGTACGACTACGGTACTACCACGCATGAGGATCACCGACAGAAGTCCAGTGCAGTGTCTGATTACCCGTGGCGGAGGTCATCTTTCTACAATTCGTCTCCACCGTCTTCTCCTTTCCCTTACGACATCCCACCGCCGCTTCCGGTCAATTTAGTGAATATGTCGGAGTCTCGACTAATTCGTTCAGCATCGCAGGCTAGCGAAATGTGGACTGAAGAGAAATGTAACAGTATACTACCAGCCGAAGAGACTGTAAGTCGTGGTCTCATGGATAGAGCACGGGATATGCGCGACGCCTGGCGGAGGCACCAGAGGGAGGTCAGACATGAAAAGATCAAGCAAAGTATTAAAGTACTTGGCCTGGTCGAGCCGGCATCAGTAGCAGGCTATACGAAGTCGTGGGGTATGCGGTTAGGAGATGTTCCTGGCGACGAAGATAGAAGCACGAGCTACAAGGCTTAGAGATCAGTACACACGTCAAGAAGTAATGTGTTATATACAATTACCGACGAGAATCTGCAAGATAAATTTCCAAGCTTTGCATCACCCAAGCATAAAGCTTGTATCCTCACATACATTTAGGGCTTGAGTCTGAGCTAAATCCGCCCGAATCCGCTTAAACCCGTAAACGATTAGTGCGTGGCGCCCACTCCGTTCCGTTTTTTCCACGTACGCACCTACATGCACGCTACATCTATTCAGCATCAACGTCATCTCTTAGCGCAATGCAGACACTAACCATACCTGCTTCTGTCAGTAAACGCAAGCAGGCCTGTAAAAGCTGTCGGCAGCGTAAAAAGAGATGCGATGTAAGTCCACATCATCGTCGCATGTCGGACGAGAGCTGACGATAAGTCGCTTACTGTAGGCAGAACACCCGAGTTGCTCTTTGTGTAGGAGATGGAATCTCAAGTGCGAATACTCGTTGCCGAAGTTAAGTCGAGACAAGTACACACCATCTACAAGTCGTTTAGAGCATCATGCACCAGCATCACCAGCTTCTGCTCTTGGCTTCGATCCAATACAGCTGGAATCACCGGACCTCATCCAGTTTCCCGGTGCTCGCCTTTCAACATCCATAGCTCTCAGTATACCATACCCTACACCGGCATCTGCTGTGGAGCAGTTGGACGATATGCTGGACTTCCAAACAATAGACAGCTTCCAGCTACCGCCACAAAATGTCATTTTCCAGCTCGTCGAGCTCTTTTTCGAGCACCTGTACCACACTTTTCCTTGTTTCCATAGGAAGAGTTTCCTGGCGAAGTTGGAACGTGGCGACTTGGAGAAAGACGCACCACTTCTTCTGTATGCCATCTGCTGTGTAGCGGCCAGACACCACCCTGAGCAGTCCATTCAGAAGCGCTCGAGAGACTGGTACGAGCAAGCACGCTTCTCTTACGAACTCACCCGGCGAAAACCGGAGCATCCTCTGCACACAGTTCAGGCTGTATTACTTCTTGTGTTTCATGCTTGGACCATCGGTGACTACTCTGCTAGCTGGCTTTTCTTGGGAAAAGTTTGGAGACAAGCAGTCGTGCTCGGCCTAAACCGTATGGATGCTAGCGACCATCTATTGAACGCGAGGATTGACAATGAGAACTCATATGTTTTTGGCAAAACAGAACCTCACTCGACAGTTGAGCGAGAAGAGTACCGAAGATCACTTTGGTTGCTGTTCATAATGGATCGGATGAATTCATGGCCAACAGGATGGCCTAACGCGATACCGGAGATGCAGTTCAAGGTCGATATACCGATTGCTGATACGCTATTTCAGAGCATGGATCCAGACTTGGAAGTCAGCTCTTTTAACAACCTGCCATTTACCAGGAACCTATCGCGCCTCATAGAATCCGTAAAGGCTGCAGAAGGACCATTGAACGTCTTCCATTATGTGATCGTTGCACATGTCTTACTCGGTCGAGTTTCCGAACTGCTGTATTCCCTACACAACGCTTCGGACAGCCTCGAATACGCTGAAGACTGTACTGCACTGGACAATATGATTGTGAAATTTCGATTAAGTCTTCCGCGTCCAGCAAGTTCGGTCCTAGAAGCGCCCCCAGCTGACCGCGGTCATGTCGTTTGGCTGCATGTCATTCTCGACACCATGGCCATTCTACTTCATTACCAAAGTAACACAGCTTTTTCGGTGCAGGAGGCAGCTTCAAAGTTTACACTAGCTGTAACAGCGGCTCGTAATATTGCGCAACTCGTCAAAGATACGTCACGCATATCCATCGATATTTTGCTCTCAGCGCATATCGGATCGTCGCTCTATGCGGCAGCCATTGTCCTTGTTATCCAGTGGCGCCTGACTGACGATAGTAGCTTCAAAGAAGACATTGACTTGTTTATCCTTGTATTCGAACGCATGAACGAGGTCTTCAGCTTTCTAGGCTTGAAGCTCAAGATAGCGCTAGAGCATGACTTGCAAAGAAGCGTAGAAGACCTTCAGAGTCTACGAGAGCGTGGATTCAAGGGTATGTTGGCTGATTGTACTAAATGGAATCACGTCAAACAAGAGGTTGAGAGAAGAGGTATCGAAGTCGATCTCTCATAAAAGGCGCCAGTAACGATGACAATATTTATGGTGCAGTTGATAATAAATGGCGTCTCCGAAGGAGACATGATGCTACGTGTCTGTATTGCAGTAGTCCAATCTCGGCACTTCTCACTCTGGACCAACCAGCATACGTCCGCCGTCACTGTTTACCACTGTCCCGTTCGCGAATCTGTCTTTCATGACCCAACCATACGCCTCTGCGATATCTTCTGGTTTTCCAAACTCTCTCAGCAGACTAGCTCCTCTCTTGAACTTCTCGATGGCTTCGGGAGAAGAACTGTCTATCAGTTTTTGTAATAGTTCCGTATGGATTGCGCCGGCATTGACGATGTTCGTGCGGATGGGATTAAGGTCTACCGCAAGACCGCGAGCCAGGCCTTCAAGCGTTGCACCAAGTGCTGCGGTTATGGTCCAGTCAGGCATTGGACGGTGCGTAGTTGTACCTCCTGTGATTGTGATGGAGCTGTTGGAAGACTTGTGCATGTAATCACCAGTCTCAATGAGTTTGGCCAGCACACAAGCAGCGACAAAGCGGACTGTCCAACCGTTCATCAGCGTGTTGACATCTATTTCCGCAATCTTGGGCCGTTGAACCGAATCGCCTGCTAGGAACGCGATATGATCGATCTTCTTCTTGCTGCCCTGGGTCGCCTTATCGAGCATAGCCTTCAGATTGGATTCCAGGTTCTCTTTGTCGAGAAGGTCAACGGCGAAGCCTGCTACGTTAGAGGCTGGGTAGTCCGGGTACAGGGATCGCAGCATTTCGACTCTGGTATCGACCTTCGCTTGGGTAGACCCAGATATGGTCACAAATGCACCATTTGAGAGGGCCATGTTGGCAACGGCATATCCGATCCCGGAAGTGCCGCCAAAGACAAGGACGTGGGCATTTGCGAGACGGTTCTGGTGCGCCATTGTAAAGTAATAAGAAGTCTTGTGGAGAGTTCAATTGATGTTTAGTTAGGATGGAAGATGGGAAGTCTGTGATGGACTTCAAACATGGACATGGCCGTCACTTTTATATATAGTAGTATCAGTCCAGCGGCGGACCTCACACCTACTAGCGGCGCAGAAGATGTGAGAAGCCCTTGTTTCACCGCACATTCACATCATAGTCTGGCGGGTAGCGGCGGGTTCGGACATATTGTGACGGTCTCCATGGGCACCAAGGGTTGGTAACAAGGCGGGCTGGCGGCGACGCTAATGTATGAGCGGTGCGGCGGGGTGTTCAAACCACTTGCGCACTGCTACGCATCGTCACAGACAAGGAACTTGTGAATCTGCTGCTGTATTCTCCTGTTCTACCAAACAAAATTGGGAAGATGGTTCATCAAGATTGTCCGTGCATGCAGCTCAGCACTCAAATCGTTACTACATCGACCAATCGATGAACCTCATGAAATATTCCGGGCTCTGTCAGACAAGCGCACCAAGCCCTTGCTGGTGTTTTGTAACTGCCCAGCGTCATATCTAGGCTGTTGAGACCCTCCAGAGAGCGTTCGGCATCTACCTACAGCGGTTCTTCCTTGAAAATAATTCGTACACCTTGACCATCCTTTTCCCTAATCTTTTCGGTGATGTGACTCCGAGCAGATGACCTGAATCTCACAACATAGATCTCTTCAAGCGCCGGCAAGTCTTTTCCGAATGACCCGTGATATGTCCCATTAAGATAATGACAAAGGTCATAATAGTTAGGCTCTATGGATCGAATCGCCGAGCGCTGGGCAACATTGCGCTGAGTAAGCCATTCAACAAGTATGCCTGTATGGGCGTGGGAAATCAGCACATGTATCACAAACATATCGTATCAAGAAGTTGCCTACCATTCGATCGATGTTCATCGAAATATTGATGCAGACCTTGGGTATAAGGAAGTATGAAGATATTGGTGGCGTAACCTAGTGTAGCAGTCTCTGCATAGATCTGACGGCAGACTTCTGGGAGGTGAAATGCAGTGCCTTGATCCTTGAATCGGCGATCGTCTAAGTGATCCGCTCGGCCGTGCCATAGTAAGTTGGAGTTTTCGCGCCATTTTTTTGATGTTCGATAGACGACTGCGCGCCGAATTCGTATTTTGTTTCCGCCAACTGCGTAACGGAAGATCGTGTTTCTGATCTCTGCAGGTAGTCGAAGTAGAGGGGAGTCCGTGGCGTTCTTTTGGATCCTGAGCAAGTCAGTAGAGAAATTGCTAGCGTAGGAATACCATCCCCACGTTTCAACTAGGTAGTCAGGAGTTGTTTCCATGCTGACAAGTCCATTCTCGAGATGCTTCAAGGGGTAAGTGCGACCTCGTGGAGGCTTTAGTCTACTAATTTGTTGCGACCCATTAAGGTTCTTCGACTTTGTAGGCTTCCTAGACGCGACCCTTGTACGTGGACGCGAGCGTTTGTTGACCTTTGAGGGTTGAAGTATATTCGAGGCTGGCTTCTTCATCTTGGCAGATTGGGAGCGTGTCGTGGGCGCCATTATCGATGGATTGCTTGGTGAGTCGAGCAACAGAGAGGTCGAGTTGATATGACCGGTGTAGTCCGAGCGCTTCAGTCAAAGGGATCGTAGTCTGAGGAAAGCAATGACGTACGCGGTATATGTTCCATTGCAAACGGAAAACGCGAGTGCGCTTTATAAAGCTTTGACTCAGGCAACCTTTAGATTACCTATTTGACCTTTCCTATGCAATCACTCACCTACACGCCACCCTACATCTGCGAAGGCGGAGACTCCATCAACGATAAGCAACTCATTTCGTCCTACGTCGTCGGAGTATCAAGCCCGCATGTAAGACTGGTGTCAACTAGGTGAGATGAGATGGGCGACTGACTTCCTGTTCTAGCACTGAGCGGAACGCACGAGACTCACTGCTACTGCGACTACCTGCCGAGCTCCGCAATCGAATCTACAACTACGTTTTCGACGCTGTGCGATTCCGTGTCTATGAGAGCATCCTATATATCGATTACTTTCTTCCACAACACGCCTGCCCTATCACTCGCTACGAGGCCAAGGCCCGGTTTGGTATACCGTCTACGTGTCGTCAACTGTACGCGGAGACAACGATTTTGAGCCGTCGCTCTGTCACCTATGAGTTCATCCATCCAGCAGAGCTCACTGCCTGGACAAAGACCTCACCGCCGCACATCAGGGCGCATGTGAAGGAAATATCTTTCCAAGAAGGCTAAGGTTGGTGTTTTGACAGGCGTGTCGGCTTACTCTTCGACTGTTATTCTAAGAACGTTCTCGGGTTAGACAAATTGGTGGAGGCTTGTGAGTTACTACAAGGCTTGGAGTGTGTTCAACTCGCTACCCGGGACAGGACCGACAGGACCCATCTCAGGGACACAGAGTTTACTGCGGCCATTGAGAATCTTAAAGCAAGACTCACTAAAGAGGATGGAAGAAAGGTGGAAGTCATCCTGCAGTGTACTCTTTAAGCGGTATTCTGGTTGTCTTGTCTTCTCTTACGCAACTTGGTCACCTGGCGGCGCCGCGCTCGAAGAAAGTAGTGCACACATCAATGTAGGGTCTGTCGTCATGTTCCTATGAAAAGGCGGTACTTGGAGGATTGAGCGTGACGCAGTGCCGTGCATTGGCCTGGGGAAAGTGTAATCGTTGCTTGGGTATTGGAGCGTAGTAGCTCCACTAGACCATATATTGCCTCTGCCAGAGAAGAAAGTTGATGCCCATTTGTTGAATGAGATAGTCCAGTCCTCGTGGGTATACCGCTGGAGCTAGGATTGATTCGATATTATCTATGCCACACTGTTCATCTCCATGTGCAACCATGCTCATCCTACCGACCCATGCTGTTGATCATCTCCCTCTGTGTCGCACGGTCGCGGTTTGTCTGGCTGAGCGATGGGATGCTCCTCAGATCTCCGACAACGTCCTTGGCCTTTCCAAAGTACACCTCCTGCAGCAGATTGCGCATCTTGAGCTCCATATCCTCGACCATCTTGCCAATGTTGGCGACGTGCGAGGTGTCATCCTCAACAGCCATGTCGGCTTCGACTTGGCGCACCATATTACCGGATAAGTCAAGACCGCCGAGTGTTTCGCTGTCGGTGCCGAGGGACAGGATGACAGTAGAGGTGAGTTTGTAGTGAGAGGTGCGTGCGCGGTCTTGGGCGTCGAATACGTGAATGCTGTCCCAGCTGCCAGAGCTCTTGGGGGTAGGGTTGACGGCTGCCTGCATTAGCATGTGACGGTGGCACACGAGAAAGATTGCATACCCTTCTTCAGCAGAACACATCCCGCGAAGCCATCGTCCATGTCCCACAGGTAGACACTCGATATGCCGCCCTCGAAGTACCTGTCGGTATCAGCCACGCTCCACCGGCCACGCCTTTACTCTGCATAGACTCACAGCTCCCTGTACACGTCAAAGGCCTCGTTCGCCTTGACCTCCATCTTACGGACACGATCACTAGGCGTGACACCCTCCTCAATGGGCGGCTCGAACTCATTGCTCCATGGACTCCTCCAGCTGTCGCCGTCGCGGTTGTAGTCGCAGCACAGGAAGTCGCGCTTCGTCTTGGAGCACTTCTTCACGGTAAGCGGGATGTCGACGGATTCAAGCAGGTCTTCTTCGAGCGAGGGGTTGAGCTGGATAATGTGGTCGACATTGCGCTTAACGTCCTTTGGGTTCAGTCGGCGCAGGAGGTCGCTAGGACGAGCTGTTAGCTACAAACATGGGGAATGCGGGGTGCAATGCGACCCACAGGGCACTGTCGATAGGGTCCGCCATGATTCTGATCCGTGTCTTGGGAAGGTAGCGGTCGGGCGTGATCAGGGTCGGGTTGCTCGAGTATCGTTTAGCTCCCAGGCCTGGCCCCTCAATCTCCAGCGGCTCCTCTGTCGGCGATTCGGGTGTTGGCACTGCGTCCGGGTCCCACGAGTCATGCGTGTAGTAGCTCACCCGGCGGCCCATCTTGGTAGCGCGTCACTCCACTCAACCTCACTGTTACTCTCTTTTTGGTCGTCGCCGGCTTTTGTCTTATAAAGAATGTTGTTGACAGGTTTGTGGTAGTGGCGGCTTGCTGCTTTCTCCTTCACCCAGCAATCGCGGCTGTCTCCATCGGGAAAGAACAGAGCTGCCTTGTGGCTTCCCCTGTAACTATCACCACATCAAAGGGTATCTCTCACATCCAAGCACACCAAGCTGGGCTCACCTCCACGAACTCTGATCATCAAACATGCCAGAGGATGAACCTCCTACGGCTAGTACGGCATCGTCCCCAGTGATATTGCCCCCTGCCCAAGCCTGATGTGAGACCATCGCAATTCACCCTCGCCTCGCCTCGACATCACGCACATGTACGCGTTTGCTGGTGCGTGACCAATAGGATGTGCTCGTTTCAGAAATCTCATCATGGAAACGTAGGTGAGGTTGCATTCTGTATCTGTGTGCGGCCATCTTCGATAATCTCTCACCTTCACCTGGCCGCCATCTTCATCGTCGCGCTAGTGAGCTTCTCTCGAGAACATAGTCTACCTTTACGCCTCTTTTTTATCTTCTATCATCCATCTGTGACAACGAAATATTTCGACCAGCAGCCAAACAGAAACCAACAGTTGAGAATGTCTGACAACGACAACGCCGCCGCCAATGGCTCTTCTCCCCAGTTCACCGAGCGCGAGCTACAGCTCCTCGGATGGGCTATGCAGTCTCTCAAGTCTGGTCCTCCAGAGGTATGTGTCTAGTCTGTCTCCTCTTCTAGTGCAATACTCATAGTCATCGTAGATTGACTACGAGAAGCTCGCTGGCTATGCTGGAATGAGCAACCCGCGCTCTGCTAGCAACGCCTGGGCCAAGATCAAGCTCAAGTTGATGACCCCCACTGCCGATGGCACCGCCCCAGTCACCCCAAAGAAAACCCCTCGCAAGAAGGCTACTGCTGCCAAGCAGGAGGATGACGGCGAAGAGGGCGCAGACGCTGCAACTCCTAAGAAGACCCCCCGCAAGCGCGCCCCCAAGAAGCAGGATGTCGACGGTGAGTCTTCGCCCAAGAAGAAGGCCACCCGCGGCAAGAAGAACTTGAGTGCCGATAGTAAGTCCGCCTCCGGGTAAGAACAGATGTAGTGCAAAGCTAACACACCATAGCTGTTAAGGAGGAGTCTGACGAGGACCTCAACCCTGACGGTTCGCCGATGAAGATCGACCCAGCCGAGCCTAAGGAGGAGATTGTGGACGATGTCGTCTAGGTTTCCTCTCGGTTTGGGCTACTGTTACTTTTCTTTGATCAAGCCATGTTCCTTTCTGACCCCGGCTGTGAGAAGGCGTTGCGCGATGTCTTCTTCTAGTGACGTAGCGCACAATGGCGAAAAGGACTGGTTCTCAAGGGCTCGTGTAATGAAAAGATTCATTCTCATCTCAGCATGGCATTATGGAGTGTTAGGGAAACATGCATGGTTTTCACAAACGGCGTAGGGCAGTTGCATCATTCGCATGTTAGCAATTGCAACCGCACATTGCGCACCTCCAATACATTTCTTCATGCCGAAACGTAATCTTTTAAGAAATATGGATATTTTGCAGTCTTTCCCTCTGGTTCGACATCCAGCAAGCACTGTATGCGTGCCGATGCGCATACACCCTGGTCTGGGGTCGTCTAGCCGGATATTACCCAGATTCTCCAGTCCGACGCAGCTCATCTACGCATAGTATTTACGCTACCATTCACTACACCTCTGTCGAACTAATGACAACAGTCATTACAATTAAAACAGCTCATTCCATAACCACAATATGACGCGACGCAATCGAGAAGCAAAGAGACTCATAGACAACGCAATGCCGTCGTTGATGGAAAACAAGTCAAGGCTTGTGAGACACACTCATGCTTCGTACCCAAACCTAGCTGACATGCATTTGAAGGGTGGCAATTATACCACAAAAGCTTTCCTCTCGTTCTCCATCCCTCTTTCAGCTGTTCTCGCTTTGTACTTGGGTTTTCGGCAGCCACTCCTTCCTGTACTGCGTTCATACTTGCCCAGGCGACTTGATGTGTATCTCCCTGCTAGGTTATGGGAGGCTACGCCAGCAGTCAACTTGGACGGAACTCTAAGCCCAGGGGATTTACTGAAAGCGTGCGAAGGCCACCAATACACGACCGAGATCATATCTCTCGATCCTCTCCTGATCTATATCAACAACTTCACGTCTGCGCAGGAAGCAGAAGAGCTCATCAAACTTGGGTAGGTATTCTCGCCTTTCTGCCCCAAGCTGGAGCTCACTCACGACCGCAGCTAATACTTCTCCAGCTCCCCAGAATTTGCCGAATCCTTCATCAGCCGTTCACGAGGCAGTACCCAACGCGTCACAGGCCGCACCTCTCAGTCTGCGCCCCTCCCTATGAATGATCCGCTAGTCTTGTGTCTTCTGAGCCGCGCACGAAAGTTCATGGGCTCTATGCTCCTCCCCTCGGAACCCTTCAGTATTCCGCAACTCGTACGGTACTTCCCTAGCCAAAAGTACGACCTACATACAGACTTCTGGCCTGAACACCAGATCACTAGTCTCGAAGATGGCAAGCAGGTATACTTCAATCGCATCGCTTCATTTTTCGTTTTCCTACGCGACAATTGCACAGAGGGTTATACGTACTTTCCTCTTGTCGAACCTTCGTTGCCCAACATCCTGGATGGTACATACAATGACAGGATAGCGCAAGGTGAGATGAACGGAGAAGCCAAGGGCATCAAATTCAAGCCGATGCGGGGGAACGCGGTGTTTTGGGTTAATCTGGATAAAGACGGAAAGGGTGATCGGAGGGTAGTGCATGCCGGACTCCCGGTGGACGAAGGAGAGAAGATTGGGCTGAACATATGGCCAAGGAAATACTTTGGCTATGTTGATGGCGGCGATGAGGACAGGGAAGGGATGGCGACAAAGGAGGGGTGGAGTGGGAGATGGAAAGACTGAATGAGGAAACTGCATATTGAGCACTCTTGCTAACAAAACTGCACCAATATTTTTCCATTGCATTCCAAGCCCTCTCAAACGATTCGTTCCATATCAGCACTTTAGCATTTACGTTCCGTCTAAATGCCGATGCGCAAAGCATACGTCATCTATGTGAAACAAAGACACGCGTTTCGCAACACGACAGATAGAGTGGTGCCACACAAACCTTATAATGAGTAAGGCAGGGAAGTGGCACAGTAAACAACCCGGTGGCTACAGTGTAACACCAACTCAAGAACTCAAATTACCGCACCGGCCAACATAGCCGCGGTCATGTCAAACAAACTCCTGAACAATCAAACCAAACTCACTCTCTACCTCACAGCAACAACATAAACCGTTGTCTCCAACATCTTGTCGGTCAGTTTCTAGAGCCACCAACTAGACAATGTCGCCTTCAACACCTTTCCCCGACTACCCAACACTCCACAGATGTCCAATGAACATAGCTCAGCTGATCGACCCTGCAATCCGCTCCTGGAACCTAGGTCCTGGTTTTTGTACGCGCGACAACTTGTTCGGTGTGAGCTACGTACTTCTTCTTGTCGTAAACTATATGGTCGCCGTTCTAGCCTTGTATGCGGTCTTCGCTATCCTGGGAAAGATCGTACGTTGGAGAGGATTCGCAGGGAAGGATACAAGAACTCGAGACAAGGCGCTGGATTGGAGAAGTGCGGATAGACTGGAGCGTGGTGAGGGGGGTTGGGTTGGTAAGGTATGTTTTGGTGTATTCGAATACTAGTCTGAGCTTGTGATAGAAGATACTGACGAACTTTGTAGCAGATCAAGGCGTTTCGCCCGATACTGAGTCCTGTAAGGGAGAAGGAGAAGATGTGATGGTGCCGATGCAAAGTGTCACCAAAGTCGGAAAGGGCTCTGTATGCATTGCAAAGAGTCACGTCTACGAAGATACCCTAGAGGTTGGGCAGTCCTATGGCAAGGGAATATCAATCGGTTCAGCAACCACATGCAGGACTTCGATGCATTTGCTCGGTGGTCTTACATTCCAGCGCCCAAGATTCTCATTTTCAGTGTGACATTCAGCACGTTCGGCACGTTCGGCACAAGTACTTGCAGCCACTCCTACTCTTATCCAGAACAGAGTACTGCTGTGGCTACGATCAGTGCGGCAAACATCTTGTCTGACGCTTTTTCTTCATGTATCATACCGAGGGACTACAACAAGGTGATTGTGATAAGTCATCATTGCAGACACAGAGGCGGTGTGATTATGCGACGAGGATACTAGGATGATTCTAAGGTTTTATCGAGAGACGACGACTGATGCCGAAATAGTTTAGTGGAGGGAAGAGTTTCTGTCGTAGCTTCGATACTTCCCGATCAACAGTTCCTCTTAGCGGTATGGTTGTGAGTCGCTCGCAAGTGTCGCGGAACCACGTTATCTTTATTGAGAATACCGCGATTGTACCTAGGTATCAAACTTGGTACCGCAGCACCAGTTCGAACAGCACCGCAAGATCATACCTTTTTCGTATAAAACCGCAGACCCTAAGTTTTTTTTATCTGCACTTTCGAAACATTAAACTCAAACTATGTCCATTTTCTTCGCATGTTATATTGTCCTCGGACTTTCGTACCCAACCAGGCATCACGTGTACTCTTCAAACGCCCCCAAGCCATCATGTCAAGAGTTTGAAATGCAAAAGCTAGGAAGATCGACTTGCCATACCGAGAAGTCAAGTTTAGGGGAGGAGAATAGGACTGATAGTGGGGCGGAGAAGGAGAGCAAACGCACGACAGACTCGTTTGCAGTTGACGTCGCGACGAGCAAACGAATCTGGGGGGAATGGTGGACATGGTGTCGCCCCGTAAACAAATCCGATGCTCCTGTACCTGGCGCATCGATACATCTGTGTCTGGTCACCCCGACGAACGACGAGAAATTCATAATCTCGTCATTCCAGCCCGCTCACCTTCACTCGATCACATTTCATACCTGCGCAGGATTTCCTCACATCACCGATAACCTCGCGTCCCCTCCTTTCAGTCCTCACCATCACACTACCGGTCTCACTGCAACACATTCTCAACAATGCCGGCGCTCCCAACAACCACTCACGCAACAACTGCGCACCACGGTACTGACTGGCCGCTCCTCTGGGTCATAATCGGTGTAATCAGCATCATTCTCTTCCAGATCTTCATCGCCATTGCCCTTATTCGTTGGGCGAACTTGCGCAGCAAGGCACGGTGGAGAGATCTACAAAACCGTGGCATTGCCATCCTCGACGGTCCTTCACTCATCTGGAGGGACGCGATACCGCCTGCACCGACAGTCTCGACATACAACTTACGGCATAAGCTTCAGATATCAAATGAACAAGTGTCTCAGTAACTTACTGTGGCTGCTTTGAACCAAAACGATCAAGGCGTCAATACCAGCGCTACGTCACTTTCTGAACAATTACCAACAGACAACGATGAGTGTCTTCGACCCTGAACCAACGCAGCTCACCGAACAACATCCATTCACAACCGCCGCCATTGTCTCCTTCATCGTCATCTCAGCAGTGGGCTTGTCGATCGTTGTAGGGTTCGTCGTGTTTGGTGTGTGGTACAGGATAAAGAGGAAAAGAGAACAACATGAGGCAGCCGTCGAGCTGGTGGAGCTTTCTCGGATTGGAGATTCATTACAGATGTCGCCATCACAACAGCGGTAAGAGGTGGGCGGGGTGCACCGACAAACACCTTTTGGCGTCTGCTTTGTACGTTATCTTAGAGAACCTGTACTCTCGTTTGCTCAACTACGCATAAAACAGCAGCAGTATCTTTCCCTCTTCCTCGCATGTAGATTACACGGGGTCAGTGTTGGCGTCGAAGGAATACAAAGCGTATGGGATATAAAGAAGAGTGATCGAGAGCTGAATGATCAAACCGTTATCAACTTTCGAGCTGATCTCAACGAATCACTAATAGTGGCCGTTAACATGATATCCCAACTGGAATCTTCTGCTTCGTTCCGAGTGAGAATGACTCTTGGTACCGTATGTCAACTAGACGTGCACTGTAATGTTAGTCGCGCAGTCTGATTGCCATACCATCACTCTGAGACTGTGGTAACAACAGGTTTCTCCTGGCAACTTGTGATGGCGCGATAGGATTCGACCGTTGGTACCGGTGGTAGCGCGTTCGGTGTGGCGAAGCTCATGAGATTAGAACAGGGAAAGTGTCGACCACCTCTGGTAGTTGCTACCTAGAAGGTCTACCCCGCTTCACCCGGAGATACCGGATGACCCTCTTTGTTTTCTCTTTCCTGCACGACCAGAATCGAGCTCGACCATTACTTGGACCTGAAAGCAACAACAGTAGACAACATTTAGAGCATAATCATGTCTTCCCAGAACACTTCCAACTCTTCAAGCTCCGGCTCGACTTCCGCGGGTAACAGCGGCAGTGGAGGCTATACTGTCACCAGCTCCGGCACCAACGACCAGGTAGGCTCTCATGCTTTCGCCATCCTCCTACATATGTGCTTAAGATCATTTATAGGGAAACCACTACTGCTCTCGCGACTACGGCTCTGGCGCCTCAAACTCCAACTCTTACCACTACTCCAACACCAACGGCTCGTACTACTACAGCAACCCTAATGTATGTCGAAATTATGCCAGACAAACAAACTTTTGTTGACATAATCTTAGGGCTCGACTTACTACAACGATGGTAGGGGTGGCTCAAGCTACAATCCTGGCAAATAGAGTACGGACGTCTTGTCAGTCATGGCTATAAGCTCGGTGGAAGTCCTCATATATTGACTGCACGCTGTCGACAGAACGCGAACGGGGCAGTTTGGCCATATTTGAACAATCCAGACAGTACAAACTGAACCTCCTTGCTTCTTACTCCCCTCTGCATGCTTTTTGTGGTGACGCCTCCGCGTATATAGACGGCATAATATAGCCCAAACGCTGCCATTAGGACCCGGAGCGCGCCATGATAATGAGTCTACCATCGCCAACACAAATGTAGCGGTATCGCTGTCTCTTTGAACTGAGGTGCGCGATGCCCTGAGGTGGCGGAATGGAGTTGTGTAGAGAGAGCATGGGTGGGGAAGCGACGGGCGGGTGAGATCCCGCTGGTGCCCGCATGTTCCCGAGGCTACCTAGGTATCGCTCTTCCCAGCGTTGCATCGGCGATATCCTCGATATCCACTGCTAAATTGCTCGGTATTCGCAAATCACATAGCTGGCATCGCACGGCTGTTTGTAGGTTGTGCATGCAACTCAAAAGTCACATCACGCTGCGTGACAGCTGTCTCGCTCGACGCGGGCGTTTTCCCAACCCTCAACTTTGCAAACCCCTAACGAGGTCGCTCCTGCCTCGGGGAATCCAAGCAAGACATTTGCATCGAAATCGCAAACCTGGGTAATCTTCTTACATCGAACATGTCTTCTCACATAACTATCAAACAACGTCATCGAGATTGAGATTGAGCTCCGGCCCGAGGTTTTCTATTTTCACGTTCAGTGGCACGCACCCGCTGTTCGCCGACTACGAAGCAGCTCGATTTCCTACATAACTCATGAAAAGTCAGCGTCTTTGTTAACTATTAGCATTAGCTTGTTGTATTGACTGCAAGAAACACCGCCTCTTTGGCCTCATGGTTCCTTACTGGGACGTTATCATCTCAGTGGCTACCAGAGCGATCATCCTTATTGCTCGTTATATGTGTCTCGCTGCCGAAAGACTCTGCTCCATCGAGCTCGATCTCGCTATCTGTCCGCATCCATCCCTTGCTCTGAATCCGTATCCGGCTCTGTATTCTGGATTTGTTGGGATGGCTGTTCGAGCCCGTAGCAAAATTGCTTCGAGTTTTGGACTGCTGAGTTGACGGGAGATGGAGGATGCCACCGACGATGGGCTTGAGTGAAGGCGCACATGCGGCTATGATACCGATGTTTACCTGGAGGAAACCCCAAAACTGTATATCGTTCGTGCTGCCCGAGTCTTAGTGAACATAATACTGACGCAAACGTAGAAGTTAAAACGAACAATGACTGATCAGGATCACCCCTCTTTGTGTTTTGGACGACCGTCTTAACGATACCCATGATTACTGCTCTTAACTACGGTCAGCTCTTACACATGGACCTCGAAAGTCATTAGCGTTGAGATTGCGGATTCTTACATGTAGCCCAAGCTTAGAACGAGGATAAGGTAGATGCGAGTCCTTTGTTTCATCTGTAACCCTAATATGATGGGCACGGGAATAGATGCGAAACAGATATCAGTTAAGATATTGCACGCTTCATATGGCCTAGTCAGTCATCGAAAACAGATTTTTGAGGAGTAAACACATGCTTACTTGTGTTCATTAGCGCGAAGCCTTTGTGGATGTTCACGGCCAAGCATGTTGGCTTGAGGTCTTTGTTCCAAAAGCCGGCTATGGGCTTGCAAACAGCAGCCCACTCTCCCCACGAGACCACTGTATAAAGACAAACGAAGGCTTCGAAGCTCAGTATTTGCTCTCTTAGATTGTTCTGTGGTTATTGTAGGTGAGGAGACTTACCGATAAGCGACCAGAGCATTCTGGTGTACAAGGTGGGAACTTTGAGACGAAGGAGTGAGAACCCGACGGAGAGTTTGAGGAAAGCCATTCCACCAATGGTAGATACTATCGCTTGTATGAAGGTCAACTTCAGGTACTCATGATGGTCTTCCTTCTCAAGAGTATCGGTATGGCGTCCCAGGCCGTGTTGGGCGGCCAAGATGTAGGTCACCATACCGCCGAGAAAGACACAGACCTATCGAACATAGTCAGGAAAGCAGTCGAGCATGATTGGTCATATCGTCTCACCGTTGACGCTATTATAAGGGCATCATCTTTGCCAAATGCCTTCACGATGATGACACGTGCGTACAGCCGCATTGCAACGAAGACCAGGGCTACAACATGGAAGGTTGCTGTGACGCCGAGGAGGTAGCCCAAGTTGCTTTCTGCGGCTCTCGCTGGGTCAGTGTTCTGTGGCGCCATGGTTACAAAAGAAAAAAGAGTTTTTTAAAGTGAATCTAAGGCGAACAAACGACAATATCATATGCACAGTTTCCAATAGAAGGATGCGTTATGATACATGTTGCCTTCCTGTTCCTCACGCCCAGCATGACAAGGAATCTATTCCATCAAGTGTGAAGCACGGTAGCAGTGTTCTAGAAGGTTGTGTAGGAGTTCGTTCATTGGTCCTTTGACCTGTCCACCACGAGACGGGGCATCCACTGTGCGGAGATTTCTTGGAAGACCATTCAAAGGCTTTGCTTTTTTAAAATGAGTTGGGTTGTTCACAACGCATGGGAAACATGCGACCTGCACCTCCGTCTGCATACAGTAAGCATCGGCAGAGATCACATTTACAGACTAGCTCATCAGGCCAACCAGGAGGTACTAGGGAAGGGTCGGCCCAGCGTAATAGGTCGACGAGTGGATGAGGGTCTACCGGAACCATGAGTCGTCTCAACAAGTATCGATGGCTAAGCTCGCTTCGATGAGGGACGGGAATGGGCTAGCTCCTGGATGTGAGGTTACAGGAAGGGTGGGTCTGGGCTAACCAGGCCTCGGGACGGTGGAACGCAACAAGTCCCGGAAATCCGTCACTCCATTATGGATTGGTCTCTCCAGGTGGCAAATTTCAGTTTAATCCATGAGCCGATACAGCTATATTATATTTCAAATGAAAGAGCCAGACTTCTATTGTATTCTTTAAAATATCTCAAGTATTCAAGCAGCACACATCTATGCACCGTAACCCTTAAAAAGGTTCACCAGCTTCGAAGTTTTTGTTCAGTACCTAGGTATGTACCCATCTTTTCTGGATGCTATTATTCAACATGAAGCCAGGGTCTTCCCGTGTCCGTCCCGTCCCTCGTCCACTACAAGGGGGAGAAGCAGCAGCCGGATCCTTTGGCGATCTTATGCTACATCCGGATACAACTGCACGATGCGGGAAGACGTCCGACTGGCCATGGGTGCACGTTTAAATCCAACACAATCCTGTGAATCCTACATCTTGGCGACCCCCATCAATGTCACCTCACTTACCGATTTATGAGGGTCGACAAATAATTTCGTTGCACATTCTTCGCTTCGCGTAAGATTATCACTGCCGAAACAGGCCCTGATCGCGGCTGCCAGTCGCCACATTAACCGAACAACATCAACAAATACTGAAATCATGCCTCGAGAGCATGTTGTTCCAGTGTTCCTACACAGGATGCTTTTGGAAGCGTGAACGTGTTCATGACAATACACTGGCTACGCGATAGAGTGCTGACGGCCCGTTCAATCGGGACTCCGAGTACAAAGATGACCCGTACAACTGGACGAGGCTTCGGCTCGCCTGCAAGACGCCTTCCGTATAAGTTATAACACCCGAGGCTCCAGTGCAGGATAATCTCGAACTAAAGGATGAAGGATGCAAGCCTTGATTAGGCGCCCCCATACTCTAGCCCGCGTTCATCTAACCCAGCAATCTGGACTCGCCTAAGAACCGTTTTCTCCGTTAACAGTTCTTAGAAATCGGAAGCACGCTTGCGGTAAGGCCCTTGTATGATTCAGGGATGACTTCGCGATGAATATAACCGGCGACTTGGATCACCAGATCTCACCTTACGCTGCCAGATCTTGCACACAGCAAGTGCTAACTCGTCGATATGCGCCTCTTTCAAGCTATAGCTATCGTGCAGCTACTGGCTGGACATCTCGTGGCTGCTGTTCCCCTCGACTCAACTCCGGTCATCGATATAGACCCAGCAGTCGACCCACTCGAGGCTCTCGCTCAACTGCAACAGCATACGTACGAGACGCTTGAACACAGTGATGCCGTGTCAAAGAGGGCTCCGAAAGGCTGTTCCTTGGCAAACACTGCCATCCGGAGGGACTGGTAAGCTCACCACACTTATGAGGATGTACTTACTGACTTGTAAGGGATTATATGAGCAAGCCTGATCGGAGAGCATATATCAAAGCTGTTCAATGTCTCCGAACATTGCCGGCTAAGTCTGACAAGTCATGGGCTGCAGCAGCCAAGACGCGCTTTGATGACTTTGTCGCTATCCATGTCAACCAGACTATGTACATACATGGCAATGGTCTCTTTCTTACCTGGCATCGCTACTTTGTATGGGCATATGAGCAAGCTCTACGAAATGAATGTGGCTACAAGGGATACCAACCTGTGAGTTTCCAAAAACTCAATAGCCTCTAACATATCTGACTTTGCTAGTACTGGAACTGGTTCGCAAATACCGATAACATCTACAAATCACCCGTCTTTGACGGGAGTGATACCAGCTTGGGTGGCGACGGGGCATACTTCGCACACAACGGAAGTCTTGCAGGTGCTCGAACAATAGTTATCCCCTCCGGAAAGGGAGGTGGATGCATTGAGAGCGGCCCTTTCAAGAAGTGAGACTATCGCACACGTTCACAGTCCCAGGGAATTAACAGAATTCTAGTACGCAAGCGAGTATTGGCCCAATCTCGCCTGGTATGCAAGGCTTCACCGATCTGGGAGTCGATATTAATGATTACAATCCCCGCTGTCTGCGCCGAGACATCAGTCCTTATATACCCAAGAAATGGTTCACTACTGCAAATCTTCTGAACGTAACCATTGGTGCGGGCTCGCGAACCCACCGCGATTTCTGGGTCGAAATCCAAGGACGATACCCAGATGGCTTCCTCGGTCTTCACACATCAGGTCACTACACCATGGGCGGTGACGCGACGGATCTCTACTCTTCCGTCAATGATCCTGCATTTTTCCTTCATCACGCTATGCTTGACCGCATCTACTGGATCTGGCAGACGCTCCACCCAGCAGAGGCGAATAAAGTGACCGGTACTCTGACGTTGCAGAACAAGCCCCCAACGCGCGACGCTACTATCGACGAGCCGTTGAATATGGGAGTCAATGGCGAGACACTGAAGATTCGGGATATGTTCAATACCTTAGGGGGCAGTCCTTTGTGCTACATCTACTTGTGAGCAGATCCAGATGTAAGCTTTTGGTTGTTGTTGTTGTTGTTGTTGTTGTCTTGTGTCAACCATGGTAGTACTCCAGCATAGCCATACATATCACCAACAGCTTCTTATACATCTTTGCAGACGGCATGTCTTGTGCTGGCAATTTTGAGAACGGACTAGGACTAGTGGACTATATCCACCAATCCAACACCACGTTCTCCTCCACATATTGCCTCTCTGTCTCGTATTCAACCCTTCTTACCTACCGCATATAGTAGCCATCGAAAGCAGGCGCCAAACGGTTATATTAAAACCTTCCCAAGCCGCATCCACATGCTTCGGCAATACGTCGGAAATAACACTTTTCCCATCGTTGCCCAGCCAAACTTGCGGCATTGATCAACGCGCTCAATCCGGCAACAACGGTGAAACAGACTCGTCCTCGCCGATATTCCTTTAAACAGTAACCGTCGATTGTAGGCTCTAAAGCTTGGCCGCTTCGAAGTTACCCATTACAGAATTCTGTTGATTGTAGATGCTAAGGCTTGGTAATGCCAGCCGAGAATGAGAGAGAAAATTGCTTGTCGCTTGCTCACCGACACGTACGTCCATTGGGAAGGTTACGCGGGAATAAGCAAAAATTCTGTCCTCGATGACGCGAAAACGACACGTCGACTTTTCCCCTCAAACGATCAAATTACTGAAAGAGGTAGGCATGGAAAGTAGGCGTAGGGCTTGTCAGACTTGGTGTAGCTTGGTCGTTCTCTTGGAAAGTAGATGGGTTTACGGTGTTGGGCAGGTGTAGATAGTAGGCGTATAAGAGCCTCATTTTCCAGACACAACATCACGTGCGCTGGATTCTAATGTGCTGGTCGTATGAGTAGTGTTCTTGTGCCTATATGGTTGTTCAAATGTTTATGTATCAGGAAGTCGCATCCAAGCACGATGATGGAATCTGTCGAGTTCAGAAACGCAATGCATAAAACTTCTGTTGAGCTCTCAATACATCTGCGTCTCATCGTCCTCCAAGTAAGCTCCAGCCTCGCAAAGATTTTGAGGTTGTATCCTCCATCGGCGCAACAGATTGATCGCCATCGGCACCCTGCATCGCGTTCCTTCGAGCTGCTAAACACGCCTCCGCAAGCGTTCCAATTTCCAAACCCCTAAAAAGCAATTACAAACATCGGTGTGTCACTTGGCCTACTCAGACAGGCAGTTATAGAAAACAGGCGTATTCCTTCGCTTCATCTTGCATCTGCTTAGATCTTGGTACGGTCTGCTAGACGTAGAGAAAAGCAATCAGCGCTTAACAAGCGCGTCCTCTCGTAACTAAACATCTGGTTTACATACCCAGAAGGGCAACTGTTGAAAATAGGCGTATTCCTTCGCTTTATCTTGCAAATCTGTCGAAATCTACTGCATACTACAGCATTTCGAAAAGAAATACTTGTCCAGTAAGGTTAGAGCAAGTCGCGAGCGAGGCCGTCGATTGACAATTTTGGTAGTACATACCACTTTCTGGGAGATCGTAGAGATCACCATGTCCATGCACGCCTACATCTATATGGTTAAAGAATGCCGAGTCGATGCATTACAAGAGACAGACAATGGGAATCAAGACCAAATACGCATAACTTCACCTCTCACGCTGAACGCGTTTATGGTTTTTTTTACAGTGGTGTCTCTCAACATAGCCTCTACCTGTGTCGCGAAGCAAGCTGACATTCCATCGATTGAGCTTGAATCAAACTCCGTCGAATACTCAGGAGAGTCAGTATTGGAGATAGTGCTATTGCCCGTCTTGAAACTTCTACACGTTCCACGGTCGCGATCGTGATATCCACAAGCGGTAAGCCGAAGGCGAAAACCCCCATCCTTCCGCGGTCAACATCGACGCAACGTACAGAAACCGTAGGTATGACGAGAAAGAAGCAACAACGGAGCCGCAATTCCGCAATTTCGTAATTCACATCACGCAACGTTTCGTATTCGACTACCGTGTTGAGTAACTCTATCAACAGTGTAGAAAATAGGCGTTATCTTCTCCTCACCTTGGCTCATGCCATGTTCGGGTAGCCTTCCCTCACCAATGATTTTTGGGGTCCCAAGAGACAAACAAATGACCGAAGACTGCAAACCCCTCACAGGCCCCTCGCGTCCCCCCTCTTCTCAGGTTACCTCTATAGGCAGTTGTGGAAGATAGGCGTGTAGCTTAACTGAAAGCTTGGTAGTGTAAATCCGGCAAAAGAGTGATTAGAGCCATCGTCATACCAGGGCGTAGTGGACACCAGTAAGCATGACGGAAACATCAGATGCCTCGGTGTCTAATGCTGATCTCCAATATGCACATCGAATCTGGCAACCATAGGAAATAGGCGTATATCTTGGTATAGCTTAATGTTCCTTCTCCCCTCCCATCTCCTCTTCTCCACTTTCCCCTCTGGGTAATCATCGAAAACAGGCGTATAGCTTCTCCTCAATGCTTAGCATAGCTTATTTTCCTCTCGGAAGGCCGCGGATGGTAATGCGTCGTGATTATGAAGCAGGGAGTGAAATGACGAAGGTCGGCCGAGGAGGCCAAGAAGGTCCGTGGATGTGTGATGACGTAGTTGAGACTTGAGAGGTACAGATCGCGAGGTTGGGGATATGTCATGGCGCGCGGAACGAACACGAACAGGTGCCTCGGCACTGGGGGCCTCGGAAGCGTTGTAGACTATCGCATCGCCCAAGGTATTGAGATACACGAAGGAAATTGTGTTGGGATGAAACGAATGCATTCCTGATGACATGTCTCGCTTTTCCCATGTTCAAAAGCAACGCCATCTAATGCCCTGATATACACCAATACAGTTATCCCCCCAAACGCCCTTGCTATGCATCAAAAAGGTATACGATCCAGATCCTATGTTCGTCTCTGTTCATCGATTTGGAAATTGCTTTATAGCTCATCTCGCCTTGGGATACGGATCTCCCAACTTCTCGGCCCGGGCACGAAACCCATCCACCAGTTGTACACTCTCCTCATTTCGAGGATGAAGATCTTGGTACTGTTTGTGCCATTAGCCAATGTCCTACTGCAACGCCCGTGTTGTTTAAGATGTCCGGTGAGAAGGATTTTAAGACTTACAATCGCCCAGGAAGCTGCGACCACTGGTACAGAACGTAAAAGAACGTCCTCTTGACCAAATTGTACTCGGCTTTGACCTCCTCCCACATTGTCATTTCTCTCGCGTCCCAGTCCCTCTTGAAATTTGGCACGTCTTCCCCGCCAGTCAGGACATCGATCGGCCCTTCGACGTCAGAGTCCCCGAGCGCTAGTATTGTCTTCAACACTCCCTTGTCAGTCTCTGGGAGTGTAGAGGCGACATCTTTTGGCAAGCCCTCTCGCTCATCGAGCATGCGACGGAAGTCCTTGATCGCGGACAGTGAGTGGGAGAGACGGTTCAAGGTGTTGATGAGCGCGACAAGTTCAGTACGGCGGAGCGGCGGGTCTCTTGAGGAGTCGTTCTCGTCGAATTCGAAGAGCACCTTGAGTGCAGTTCCGTAGCCATTTGTTTGCAACTTACCCCAGAGTCGACACTTGTCGCATCCTACGCAATCCATGATGCGACTGACATTCCTGAAGCGGTTCCGGAAATCTTCCTTCAACACCATTGTGTCCGGGTCCTTGAACATGACGGTTTCATCGAAGATCTCGGGACCGGAGGGAAGAGCAGACGTGAGGCGCAGGAGGGAGTTTCTAGTGCTGTGGTCTTGTTCGGGGTCTTCGGAGCAGAAGGAGTAATCAGAGATGTGTCGCGTGATTTTGCCAACAGCTCGCATGACGAGGGCGTAGTTGAAGTAGACATTGCTGATGCGCTCGGGGTGGTTATGTAGGCGTTCCTCGTAGCAGGCTAGGTTAGGTCCCCACTCTCCTGTTGTCTGGTTGAGGTAGTCGTAGCAGAGATGCGTGGAAATAGAGGCGTGCATGCCGGAGATGACACGATGGAAGACGCGCTTCTCCAGACAGGTGTCGTCAAATTCGACAGGATCGAGGCTGTCTACAGGAGAGCCGTGAGCAATGGCAGACTGAACCTTCTGCTTCTTGCCCTGCTCCTGCATGACGTTCTTGAGCTGATTCGCAGCATGTAGTTGTTGCTGGTTTCCGAAACCGCCAAAAGGTGATCCTCCAGACGTTGAAGAACTACCAGTCGCGGGCGCATTCTTTGGGGGCTTGCTGAAGCAGTTCTCCCGGTATATAGCCTCCCAGACCTGCTGAGCCCCAACGCCAGCGTATCCGGTGAAGCGTTCTGGGTTGTCGACAAGCGACACGTAGTCTCCCTTTGCCGACGCCGACTCGTCCTCCGGTACGCAGTAGTCGCGCTCGTCGCATTCGTCATCGTATTCCACCACACAGCTCTCGTCAACATTGTCACCCAGACTGCCGTGGAGCGGTCGTTTCCTCTCTTCCCTTTGTTGCTTCTTGCCAGGATGCTGTGCTGTGGGCCCCTCGAGCTTGCCTAGTTCCTTCGCGCGCCAGACCAGTGGTATGTCCTCTTCATTGTCCAGTGTGTTCACCGCACACGCCACGTTCCCGCACATGCCGTTCTCGTCGTCCCAGAAAGGACATTTCTTGCTGTACAGGCTTAATCGGTAATGCGAAAAGAAGTCGGTATTCTGCGTGATGGATTCGAGGTAAGGGTGGATGGCTTCGTTGAGCTGTTCGAGGGTGTTGTAGCTTGCGCACGCGTCGGATACTATCGCTCCAGGCGATATCTGGAAAAGGGTCTTAGTATTCGCGTCCCCAGGCTGCGCTGGTGGAGTAGACGACTTGTTGCTTACATCGCAGACGTTTGGCGGAGGACTACTCGATTTGGTAGCATGGCTTGCAGCGTGTGAGCTACCTAGCAGCGAGAAGACTGCTAGATAGAACACGTGCGCGGCTGAGCGCATTGTGATGGTGGTATTATCTGGCTACTTGAGTCTTCCCGTCAGCAAACGTCCGCGACAAAGTGTTTCCAAAGCGAGCAACAAGTTCGGGGACATACAATTACTCGTAGCCTGGCTATATGAATCGTTCCGGTAAATTAAACGCCGAGAGTACGTGTGGGGTAGGCAAAGAGGCCAGCGTGTAGGTATCGAAACTGTCTCGGCGCAAGTCCGGAATCCCTGGTCGTGGCCGTGATGGTGCTAGTTGGAGTAGGAAGTTCCGACTCGAGACAAATTAAGGTAAATGAAGGACAATGCCTGTTACAAATCAACAGAGACCGAAAGAGACAAGACGTAGAAGGAGCGGGTGTGATGTATTAGATTGCTCCCGTGGCATGCCGGGGAAATGTAATCAGACGTTCATGGGGCCACAGACTTTCAGCAATGTGGCCAGTACTGATAATTGTGGCGGTGACATGCCAATGGACCCTGAGATGTTGCGCTAGCGGGAGGCTCAACGGACCACTCTTTCGTGCGGCTCTGCAAATCCACTTGCGCGTGGTAAAACATACGAGCAGTCGCACCGCGCATCCTAAGAATAGCCCCTGATAACGGCCGCTAGTTCATCGACATGGCAGAAACGTCCAAAGCAACTGGCAGCTGGTCCGACGCCTTTCCCGCCCCACGGTGCATCGCCCCGATCCTCTCCCGCGAAGAGGCCCTGTCGAATCTCTCGTCTCCAGACTTGCTCATCGTAGATGTCCGACGCACCGACTATGAAGGTGGAACCATTCGAGGTAGTCTGAATCTTCCTGCACACTCCTTCTACATGAATCGCGGCGCCTTGTATGACCTGTGTAAGAGAGCGGGCGTCAAGCAAGTCGCATTTTATTGTGGTAAGTCTATCATCCCATTACCATGCCAGTCTTGAACGCAGCATGGCGGCTATACTCGTGCGCTCGTGGCGTGAGATGCGTACCACAAGGTACCGTGACCGGTCCAAACACGAACCATGTGGCTTTATCACGATATTGACACATGATAGGCGCATCAAATGGAAGAGGTCCGAGATGTTCTGGCTGGTTTGCAGACTACATTGCGGACCAGGGCGATGATCAGATTACATCATTGACACTTGGTGGCGGCATCAAGGGCTGGGTCAAGGCTGGAGAGCCTTACACACAGCAGATGGATGGCTTTGAGCCCGATTATTGGAAACAGTTTGATTAGACGCGTGCTTGATGCATTAAGTACACAGCAACATGCGTGGTATCTCAAGCTCGCCACATTATCTACATACATATAGTCGTAAGATGCGTTCATATCTTCGCCCAAAGTTCCGGAAAGGGTTACTGAACATAATACATCACTCATCTGAGTCATCGACAATGATTCGCCTGCCTCTCTTCCTGGGAACAATAGGCTCGTCTTCTTCCGCCTCGGAATCAGAATCGACAACGACTGCTTCGTTCTTACTCGCACCGGCACCACGTCTGATGACCGGCGCGTCATCATCACTGTCACTACTGACAATTGCGTCGTCATCAGTGATGTCGCTGGTAAACAGCTTTTCACGCCTGGGTGTCCTCTTCGCTCTGGCAGCTCTGACGACTGCTTGAGTTCCCGCCCCAACGCCAAACATGTCAATACTAGGTAGACTAGAGGTTGGAACCACCTCTTCTTCTTCATCTTCTTCGACGATGAAACTAGCCAGTTCCGACACGTTCTGCCAGGCCAGTGGATCCTCTGGTTCGTCCGCCCCCATCGTGTCGTCAGATCCGATTGTGTCAGCTTGGGATGGGAGGTGGAAACGGGGATCTGTCGGTGGCGGGGATGATTCGTCGCCTTCCTGAGCAAGATTAGACACGCGCCAGTTGGGCGTCTTTGTTATTGGTGTTTCATCCGCTGTTTCGGGGTATGGGATTGGCGTCTCTGCAGCCGGTTTCTCTTTTCGGGTTCGAGCACGAGGTGCTGGAGTCTTAGGGGTCTTCGGAGCCGGCTTCTCTTTGGGTTTTGGTGCTGACTTTTCTTTTGGTTTCGGCGGCGTCTTCTCTTTTGGCGGTGCTTTCTCCTTCAGTTTCGCCGGTGCCTTTGCTTTGGGCTTCGGGCCAGGCTTTGCTTTTGCTTTGGTAGTCGGAAGGCCTTGTGATGCAGGTTGATCGTCTTCCCACATGTCCTCCTGAATGTCTTCCGGAATCACGGACGCTACTTCCGTATTCGACACGACGAGACCGTCATCTGCATCTGATTCGCAATCCGAATAGTGCAGGTCCCGCTGGAACTTTTCCAGGCGGTCAGTTTCCATATCGTGCATGCGCTGCATAGTACCGGCAAAAGCCCGTGTCACGCGACCTGGTCCGATTCGTCCATTCTTGTAAGGCAGGACGCGCTGCCGCTCGGGAAATTTACTCAGGTCTAGCACGCCCACCATGGGGGCGTCATCGTCGTCAAAAACAGTCTGGTACCGTCTCTCGAGATCTTGAGCCGCTACATCGTCTAGTAGCACCGAATCCAGTGATGGCATCTCGAATGCTGTCTCGCTTGGATAAACGGGTGCTGCAGCTTTCTTCCCTCGGGCTTTGGGCACGATTTCTTCACCCATACGGCCTGCAGTAACGAAGCCGGTAATCACATCGTCGGGCATATGGAACTTCTTGGGAGGCTTCTTGGTCCGCCTTCCCTTCTTCGGTTCCGGTAGCCAGTCTTTCTGAGTATTTTCGGTTGGGATATCCACCACGCGCCGCTCAACAACCGGCTTGACATCTGGTGGTAAGATTCTGCGAGAGACGTCGTCATGGAAATTGAAGTGCCCTCCATCCGCGATGAGTTCCTGCATCTTGAGGTAGCTATCATTTGCCTTGTTTGCGTCGTTCTCTTCTTTGCCTTGCATCTGGAGCATCACAATTCGTCCCTGACGTTTTCGACCTGTACGACCCATACGCTGCAGCATGCGAATTGGTGATGCTTTCGAATCGTAACAGATAATGAGATCAACCTCACCAATATCCAGTCCTTCTTCACCAATTGATGTCGCAATCAACGTATTGAATTCACCGTTCTTGAACTTCTCGATAGCCTCCAGCTGGTCTTTTTGCGACATGCCTTCCGAGTTCTTCCCGTGTGCTTGTCCAACAAAGATGCGTGGGCGGATCATCGGATGATGTCTCTTAAGGATGCGTGCGATCTCTTCGGCGCTATCACGAAAGTGGGCGAATACCATGATTCTCGTTTGTGATGAAGGCGCACCATCAACGTTGCTGCCATCACCTGCATTCACAAAGTGATCCAGAATGACTTGCTGCAGGTACTCTAGCTTCGGATGCCCAACAAAATTATCATCCGTGATCCACCCTTGGAGACGCACCATCAGCTTCTTCCAAGCGTCACTGTCAAGGACCTGCTTCTTATACTTAGACTTCGTTTTAGCAGCTTCGTCCTGAAATTCCTTCATTTTGATATAGAAAGGACCCATGCCGTGGTATTTCAGCAAATCCATTCCGTGTGAGATTGATGCCAGGATAGCGAAGATAGTGTGAACTGTACTCTGAAGGCCGCGGTTGGCATTGCGGCCGACTTCTAGAAACCACTTCTTCTTGGCTTGCTGACAGCCAAAAGGCGTCAGATCGCGGGGGTTCTTGCTCCAGTAAGCGTTGAGTCCTGCGATAGTGTTCACTAAGGGCTGCAGTGCTTCGCTGTAAAAGTCCATGCACATCTCCATCTCATCTGTATTCTGGAAGACTTGCTTGTCGATCTTGCGTTGATGCACATAACTGCATATATCCATAGAATTCTCCGTTCGAATCTCAACCTTGGAAATATCGAGGCCATCGATGACCTTCTGGACGGCCTCTACATCAGCACCAGGTGTGGCTGTTAGTGCTAATACCCGGAAACTCGAATTGAATCGGCGAAGGAAGCTAACAACTTCCACGTATGCGTAAGCGCCGGTCGCTCGGTGGGCCTCATCAACGACTAACAATACTATCCTCTTGGGATCTGCATACCCAGACTTCAAGTCGTTCAAAAGTGTTTGAGGTGTCATGAAAAAGACTCTTTTATCCTTCCACTCCTCCGCTCGTAGTCCTGTCGACACGCCTCCAGTAAGCATTGTGGTGTATGAGCGTGGTATGCCTGCAATGTTGAAGCAAGCCTCCACTTGCTGTGCAACGAGCGGCTTCGTTGGGGCAACGAATACAATCTGTGCGTCGGTGGTCCATCGAAACCAATTGAGTATGATGGTGGCTGCAATGAATGTTTTACCAAGACCAGTTGGAAGAGCCACAAGCAGATTATTGAAAAGACCTCTTTGAACGATGTTGAACTGATAGTCTCGGATAGTTCCCAGATTTGTTGGATAGACCCAAGTCTTGATCGCTTCTGGATTTAGCTTGTGGTGAGTGGGTGGCTCGGCCTTCTGATCGACAACAAAGTTGTAACGCTTGTTTACTTGAGTAGCAGGTATTGTGTCATCGATACCAGCACGACCAAATAGAGTAGTCTGTCGTAGGCCGGTCAGAGGTGCAACGACACGCTTTCGAGCACTGGTGACCTCCACATCTCCCTGTTTTCGTGGCGACGAAGAGGACGAGGCAAAAGCATCGGACGGGAGATCTGCGAGGTCTTGGGCATAGTCGTAGTCACCTGATGCAGTCGCAATTGCAGTGCGAACCGGTAGTTTGGGGGATTCATCGATCTCAATGGGCGAGTCTGGAAGGATAGGAGACGAGGGCGCGTGTGGCGCAGGACGAGACGATGTTGACTGTCTACCCGGTAAAGAGATATTGCTCGTGGTGTTCGATCCAGCCAACTTCTTAGATTCAGATGGCTTATGCACACCGATTGTGGTAGTAGGCTTTGCCCAAATCGCTCCTCTCGGCTTCCATGGTGGGGAATATGTCTGAGGTGGTTGTGTTAGAAACATGTCTGGCATTTCCACATTGGTGGTCGACACATGGATGCGCTCTTTCCGCTTATCTGCAGTGGACTCTTTGATAGGCGACGCATCTTCATCATCGTAATTGTTCGACTGAGCCCTCTTCTTACGACTTGCAGGTGCGCTCTCTGGGGATGAGACACTTTTGCTGCCTGTATCTGACAACGTCCGATCGGATTCATCAAAAGCGTCTTCATCTTCGTCAGACGAAACAAAAGGACCTCGGCGACGTCCATGGCGTGTCTTGCGCGGAACGGACTCTGTACGCTCATTTACTTTGCTGATCCTGCGTCGCTTGGCTGGCCTTGGAGAAGGCAGAAATGCAGGCGTGTTCTCTTTTTCAGCTTGTGTTGCGGCATCGAGAAACTCGGTGTCGTCGAACTCGTCGCCGTACTCGTCACTGTCATCCATTGCGTTGTGGTTGAGAGGCGGCAATACTTCCAATGGTGGCGTGGTGAGGTAAATGTCACGACGCGTCGTATTCTAGCGCGTTTTGCCCGATCGCGTGGATAGATGGGGCAGGTGGATCCCTGCAGCCCAGGCTCCCACTCGTAAGGTTCAAGCCGACATGCATTGAAACGACGCTGCCGGCCCGACGAGCTTACCACACAAAGCTTAGTCGAAACCCAATATAAGCGCAACGAGCCGCTACTCGCCAAACCCCTATGTAATGACTAGCACGGTGTCAGGGTAATAAAAACGAGATGGTCTCCCCCAGATTCTTTCTTTGTGTGTGCGCCAACGTTCATTCTTTGTTCTGATTCAGTCTTCAAGTACTCGTACTTCCCACACTCACTTGCCCTGCCTTCAGTATATCCGTATTAATCTACGCAACGCCGAATCACTACTTCCAATAGTCCCGTAATATCAAAACGCAAACCGACATCAAGATGAAGTACTCTGCCGTTCTCCTCTTTGCCATTGGCGCATTCGCTATTCCTCAAGACGCGTCTGTTACCTCCGCCCCTAAGACCCCTGCCGCCATCCCGAGTGGTCTTTCTCCCGCCATCAGCTGCGCCATGTCGTGCGACGACAGCGATGTGACCTGCAAGGCCGCATGCCTGGGCAACGCACGACCCAACGCCTCCCAGGTTATCGATACCAACGAATGTGTCGCCAAGTGCGATCAGGGTGATGGCTCTACTGAGGACTCCATCGCCTACGCCAAGTGCGCAGACAGCTGCATCAACAGCCTTTTTCCTAGCAGCCAGACCGCTTTCGGCGCTGGCGGTGCTGCGAACGCTGTTGCTTCCGGCTCTGCTGGTAGCGCTGCAAGTGCCGCTGCTTCAGCTACTGGTTCCGCCAACCCTACTGCTACCTCAGGTACGTTTACTATTAGCATTATATGTTGGTCATGTTTGTACTAACGAAAATCTAGGAGGATCTGCCTCTGCTTCTGGATCCGAGTCTGGCTCTGCAGCTGAACCCGCTGCGACTGGTGCTGCTGACAAGGCTTCAGCTCGTCTCGCTGGTGCTGGTCTTGCTGGTCTTTTGGCTATCTTCGCCTTGTAAATCTAGTAAATTCGATCTGGGCTGTACTTTATGGTCCTGATGGCTGGAGAGCTTGGGAGAGTCTGAGAGTCATTGAAATAGTGGCTGATGCGAGAGTCTTTGTTATATGATGGTCGCCGTGTTGAATATATCGTGCATTCGATACTGGCCCATGTTGGAAGAATGTTCTTGGTGGTAAGGTTTCAATTTGATCAGATGAAAACCTCACAATTGCACTGCTGTTTCAAGCAGCATATTTTGCTTGTCGCCGAACAAGTGTACCCAGATCTGTGTGAGCTATATGCTGTGAATTGAAGTCGTTGAGGAGGGGGATCAGCACTGGGAATGCTAGCGCAGCTGATGAGCTAATGATGGCGCTGGCTCGTGCACCTCATGCAGGTCAGCGGCATGACCTCGGCATCTACCTAGGTAGATGTCATCAAGGCCCCGCCCAGACCATGACAAGTGCCCGCACACCATGAAGAAATCGGGGTCACTCATCATGGGAATTTGTTCGGTCGAAACAGAAAAGAATGATGTTCGAATTCATCTTGGTCAAAATGGCAGTACTAGAGGGAACTAGCCCCTTCTAGGCAATTATGGACAACACGAACAAAGCCCAACGCCTCCCAAAGTCGAAGACGCCGCGGCTGGTAGCATGGCGCAGATACGGCTGTGCAGGTGGTTATATTCGACCTCGGACCGAAAGTTTGATTGTAGTTATTGACAATTCTGCTCGAGTGATAGAGGAGAATAGGGGTCACACGCGTCGTTGATGCGCAGGACAATAGCTGGGTAGCGGCATTGGTTAAATCCTTTTGGTTAATATGCAAGCGCCTGTTGCTCTCAAATTCACTGAATCTAGATGGAAGGTTCGGGAACGTATCGCCGGTATTCACCTCGCTATACTCTGTTGTGGCAGTATGATATCCTGGTGAGTTTGCAGCTGTTTGCGACAATATTTTGAGTAGTATTGTATTGCCAGCGTGTTGCTGTCTGTTTCCTGTTGGGTGTCAGTTGTCTTTTAAGAACCGGGTAATCGCAGCAGACGTCCCACCCGACTGTCCCTTTGCCTGCTGCAAGTACGGGCGCATGTAGACATTTCAAATTGCATTGACTGTTTTTACTAAATGGCACTGTTCTATTCCTTCTGGATGATAAAATCGCATCACATGTTTATGCGATTCACTTTGCGATGTATATGTATGCAACGTTATCGTCTGAGAAGATAGCATTGGTTTGCTCTCCCTATAAACCACAGCTGACTTATATATCATGAGTTTTTCTGAGAACGCAATGCTCTCGACAGCAGTGTAGTGCGATAGGTTGCGCGGTGTTGTTGGTGAGCGGTTGTGTGAGTCAGGGAACTAAATGACGCCTGTTCCAAACAAGCCAAAGCCAATAGAAAACCCAGTCGCGAAGTTGAGCCAGAGGGTCTCATGGGCTTGAGTAATCTCCCGAGCGGCCTTGTTCTCTCTCCGGGCATGCGCAGTTGAAGAAGAGTGGCAGGGACACATCGTGAAGCAGAGTCCACGTGGCTGAGGATGATGTGCATCAGGGACTGGTGTGTTATAAAGCAGATATGAGCAGTCATGAATTTAGGTACGATAAAGGTGGAGGTTTGGAACCTATAAAGTACTTCAATGATAGAGGCCTGCAGCGACGTGCAAGCATCACCAACAATGAAGAAGAATCTTCATTACTACTGTATGTTTGTTGGTAAACAGGCACACGGATGAGCCAGGCAGTGTCGCAACTCCTAAGGTCTAAGCAAACAATCTTTGAAGCAACGATCTGCTTATGGTTGGAGAGCCATGTCGGAATCGTAGTTAGCCATCGCATCTTCTGGTGCTGCTAGCATCGATTGATCTGCAAGGCGCATTTCGACAATAAGTTCCCATAATCTTCTTGGGATCTTCTTGGCACAGTAGCATGGTACATGGTAAAAGATCGCAAGCTGAGTTTCGGTCGCTTGGCCGGCTTCTGAATTGGCAGTACATTCCAAATGCTTCCAGCTTCGGGAATGCCCAGCGAAGGAACATAGGCTGCGTTCCGCACAGAACCGATCCTTTCAGTAGGTCACTGAGGTGTAGCTTCGCTGCAATAGTCAACACGGGTTGAAGGGCATATCAACATCAGCAATCACTAGATAGCTGTCGTGCCGCATTGTTAAATGAGGACAGTCTTGATGGAAGGCTCGCTGAAAGAGTTTGCATGGTCCCCAACGTCGCTGCAATGATGCGCAAGCTGATGTGCGCCAGCGATCACGTTAGCGAAGGCCGGATACGGCGAATGAGAAGCGGGCAATATGCGGCCGATGAGGGTTGGCTAGGTGCGGCTGGGTGTTTCGAAGGGGGGCAGGACACGAGATGATTGAATGCGTCTGCTAGCGCCCCTGTCTGCGGACCTAGTAATGCCGCTGGGTAATCCCGCGAACCGAACGGCTGCATCACTGCAATTGCAGGCAGATGTGCGACACAACCATGGGCGTTATTCGACCTTCACCACCAGGCGGGGGTCGACGATAGAGGTGATCGGGCCGTCTGAGACCAGGCTGATGTGGCCGGAAACAGGTGGATGTGTAAGAGAGTCAGACGCGAACGGGCCTAGTGGAGGCAGGGCCGCGGAAAGGAATAACAATAAAGGAACAAGGCGCTCTGCGTCTCCGGACAGGTGCGCGGGCAAGAGGTGCCTGTTCAGACTTTGCTAACTTGTGTGACGCAATGTGTGCTGTGGAAGATTCGGCATCAAGCCCATCCATCCACGGGTCTGCCAAACGAGCAGCGAGGTCTAACGAAGGAAGTCGACCCTTGTCGGCGCTAAATCGAGTTAGACAACGAACCACTTGCACCATACATCGCCTCCTCGAGACTTCCTCGCCGCGCCCACACCATCATCGCAGCACTTGATACCAGATAAACAGGCCCTGTCGTCTGATGGGGCGCACGCTTCCGTTGATATGTGATGATTGTGGTGCTTCAATTTGATGAGACTGAGTAGCAACTCTGCCGATACTCGCACGCCAATGGTCTATTACCGTCGGCATGGCTGAGACAGGCGGAGCAACTGCGAATAACAGAGATAGTCGCCGCATGATGGGCGCGTTGCCGGTGTATGTTGGACAGGGGTGGTGGAGATCGTTCATGGACGAAGCGTGTGAACATGAACGTGCAAAAACCATCAAAAGAACACATCGTGACGAGAGATCCATCAGCGCCCCCATCCGTGACGGAACGGCGCATCCATACGGCGTGGGTGGATGCGGGCCTGGTCGTCAGGGTGCTGTTGTTAGCAGCACCGATGAGAAAGATGAGATATGCGTAAGAAAGAACTAGGTCCCACGGACGTAGCCTTGGGCCTAGCTTGGCACCGTTAGACCCATACTACAGCGAGTCCGCCATCTTCGATTCCTTCAACCACTGCTCCCTTCTTCACTAATTCTCCCCCACACCACGCTTTATCTCGCCTGACGGCGAAACAATCACCGGTTTCGCCATCGGCTCCATCAAGCCAACGGCCCAAAAACTCACAAATATCTAACTTTGACTTGCTGATCCCAAAATCGCGTGTATGCGCTGATGGGCCTTCTCATGCTGCGTTGATATCCGCACTTGACGGGCTTCTTCTTAGCGACAACCCTGGCGACAGCCCGCGCCTGCCTTGAAAGGGTTCTTCGACGTTCTTTGGCCTGGCCCTTCTATTGATTCTGCCTTCCCTTTAGAACTCGACATGGCAGACACGAAGAACGGCGAAGGCGAGGCTCCGTCTTCGACGGCTGGGGACCAGTCCAATGCACCATCACCGCGCAACGAAGAGGATGTGCAAAGCAATCAACAACATCAACCCAACGCTGCATCAGAAACAGCACCTTCAAAATCAACTAGCAAGGCTTCTTCCACTAGAAATTCGACACCTGCTGCTTCTTTGGAGGTACAGCACCCTGCACAGGATCCCGACGACGCGTCTTCTGCCATGGAAGACGTGCAACCATCACTGGAGGCCACCAACGGTACTTCAAATCAGTCCAAAGCATCATCAAAAGAGCCAGATCAAAATGGTGAGGCGCCATCGTCATACGGTACGCGATCGCGCGGCCGTCCTGGCAGGTCGCGACCTAATTATGCTGAAGACACCGAAATGGACTTTGAAGTGGGAGCTGTAGCCGCGAATGGCAACGTATCTGATCCGCCGTCGCGTAATTCTGTGGCTCCCGAAAACGGTCATGTTCCCAGTGTGAGTGGGAAGAAAGGTTCCGCCTCTGCACAAGGCAATGCATCGTGGGGTAATTCCGGATCCAACACTAAAGAAAACGCGCCGAATCCCAATATTTCCGGCACATCAACAACCGCTGCAACAACTCAGTCCAGCACACCACAGCCGCAACCCGCAACCAAACGGCGCAAAAATGCTGCTGCCAACGGCGCAAATGGTAGTCACGCGAGCGCCGCTGCGCCAAGCCAAGCAGGGGCGAAGCGCGGAAGCCATGCCAGCGCCATGGTAGCCGCCAACAGCGCGCGGGAGTCCAACATGATGACTTTCGAAAACACTGGCGCTTTCCTCGTCGATGGTCACTTGGAAGCAGACGATGGTCAGATTGTTTCCGTTAATGGTAAGTTTTGATTTGCTTTGGCTGCAGCTGACGGTCGCTCCGTTACGCCAGCCACGTCTTGCGGCTTGTTTTCCGTTTTCTAATTGGATGTGCAGATCAAGTGTACCTCGTGTGCGAGCCGCCCGGCGAGCCCTACTACCTCTGCCGGGTCATGGAGTTTATCCACGTCGACAACGACCCCAAGAAGCGGATAGAGTCCATGCGAGTTAATTGGTTCTACCGCCCACGAGATGTCCAGCGCTACAACAATGACACTCGTCTGGTCTATGCGACCATGCACTCGGATCTTTGTCCCCTTGCATCTCTACGAGGAAAGTGCCAAATCTTGCATCGGAGCGAGATCGGCGATCTGGACGAGTACCGCAAAACCAAAGACAGCTTCTGGTTCAACCAGGTTTTCGATCGCTTCATCCACCGCTGGTACGATGTTATTCCAGTCTCATCAGTCATCAATGTACCCGACAAGGTCAAGAAAGCACTGGATGAGCGATGGAAGTACATTTGTCTCGAGACCAGTCGGGTGAAGGAACTAACTAGCGCCGTCAAGAGCTGCAAGCGTTGTGTCGGATATTGCGCAGCGTAAGTTCTCATCTGCTTCCACACGTGACAAAGCTAACCCAAACAGGAATGACTCCGTAGAATGTGCTGTGTGCCACAACACATATCACATGAACTGCGTACGTCCGCCACTTCTGAAGAAACCATCTCGTGGTTTCGCTTGGGCTTGCGGTCCATGTAGTAGAGCTCAAGAGAAGAAGTTGGAGGCTCGGTTGGGTACCACCCACGAGGATGCAGAGGAAGAAGAAATCATAGACGAAGAAGAGGAGGAGGCGAGCGGCGACACCAATGCGACCACGCCGGATCTGGATTCCCAAATCGACACACATCCTGCTACACAGGCAGAGATAGCCTTGGCTAAGATGTGGCCCATGCGGTACCTTGGCATACATTGCCGAGTAGAGGACGCACTGCAGTACGACGATCGAGCCATCTACCCTCGCGCGAGTTCTAGGTTAGGACCCCGACACCAAGCTAACGTCAACGTCTGGCACGGTCATCCTGTGGAGTTGGTCAAACCGGCGGAGATCAAGAAACGCTACGTCAAGGCTGCCGGTAACAAGAAGGAAGGCAAGCTTTCGAAAGAGACGGTGGCTGCGATCGAAGCAGACAAGGCGGAGAAGGCTAAGCGCCCTAAGTGGGTGATGGACGAGCCGCCTGGATACGTTCGCCGTGGTCAAGATCTTCCGAACAAGGACAAGGAATGTACCGCGGAATTGATGTTCAAGATGCCACCGTTAGGAGTACACTCTACGCGAGGAGAAGATAACGCGCCGACCGTCACGGAGGACCAAGTCAAGGCTTACATGGACCGAGCGAGAGCCTTGGCTAAATCGCACGTTGGCGTAGAACCGTACAACACGAACTTTTTGGATCGGTGTTTGGCGCTCTTTACCAAGCACCAGTACGATGCAGATGTAGCGTTGAAGCATGTCAAAAAGATCGACAAGCGGAAAGACTTGAAAGAGCCTGAGCTGACGAAGGAAGAAGAAAAGAAGTGGAATGAGGGTGTCGCAAAATACGGTTCGGAGATCAGGCTCGTCCGCCTGCACACCAGCAAAACTATGTTCTACGGCGATGCCGTACGCTACTACTACATGTGGAAGAAGACACCCAAAGGAAGGGAGATCTGGGGCTCCTACAGCAGCCGAAAAGGGCGTACCAAAAAGGTGGAGCCTGATGCACAGTCCCGACTTGTTGACGATGTTGCGGACAACGCAGACGACTCGGCCTTTGACAGTGCAAAGGCCATACAGCGCAAGCGTCTCTTCCAGTGCAAGTTCTGCACGGTCCGCCATTCTCGCCAATGGAGACGTGCGCCTGGTGTGACACCTGGCCAGATGATACCTCCTGATGGTCGGTCCAAGGACAAGACCGGGTTCCTTATCGCGCTTTGCCTACGCTGTGCCAACCTATGGCGCAAGTATGCAGTAACGTGGGAAAACGTCGACGAGATTGCGAAGAAAGTCGCGCAAGGTGGAGGAAAGGCATGGAAGCGACGCATCGATGAGGAGCTCCTACGGGAGGTCTACGCGGCGCAGTCAGACCCAAGCTCCAAGAACGGTACCCCCGAGTATGCCGAAGCTCCGAGTGCCACTGCCCAGGCGACTGCAGAGCCGCCCAAGAAAAAACAGAAGACTGCTGCTATGACCAACGGAGACAGCGGAACGACCACTCCAGTCAACGAGCCTGTCTCGAAGAAGAAGGAGAAGGAAAAGTCTACTGCAGCCCCCAAGGCTCCTACACCCCCACCAGTTCCTTCGCCTCCGAAACTAAGGCCTTTGCCCTGCGCCGTCTGTCGATCGTCAGAAGGTTCCCGTCTAGAGTGTGCGGCCTGTCGGTTGACTATCCACAAACGATGTTACGGTGTTGAGGAAACACGACAGGCGAACAAATGGTACTGTGATACATGCAAGAACGACAAGAAAGAGAGCGTGTCATATGTAAGTTACATGCTGAGTATTGTCGAAACACTGCTGACTAGTCAGACGTACGAGTGTGTCCTCTGCCCACAGCAGGATACCGAGCAAGAGTTCTATGAACAGCCGAAGATTACCCACAAGAAGAAGACTGATCGCGATCGCGAAAAGGAGCGCCTAGAGAAGGAGCTTGTTGACCGAGCCAAGGACGAGTATCGCCTCCGACAGCAGGAAAAGGGCCGGCCGCTTGTGCCCCGGGAGCCACTCAAGCGCACTGCCGACAATAACTGGGTACATGTGTACTGTGCAATTTGGCATCCCGAGATCAAGTTCAGCAGCGCAACGCGTCTTGACATGGTGGAGGGGATAGGAGCACCAACACTTAGATACGACGCAGTCTGCAAGCTGTGCAAGACGACTGAGGGCGCCTGTGCATCTTGCTTGCAATGCCATGCGACTTTTCACGTTGGTTGTGCCCACAGCAACGGCTACACGTTCGGGTTCGACATGACACCAGTCAAGGTTTCTCGGAGGGATGCAGTGCCAACGGTTACCATGAACGGAGAAACGGGTACATTGATTGCGGCGATCTGGTGCAAAGAACATACCCCCAAGACTGTTGTTCACCCCATGAACGAGGAAGTGGAAGGGACGGAGCTGATCGCATTGCAATTATTCGCGCGCGAATTCAAGCAGGCCGATCTTACCTTGACAGGCACTGCGCGCAAAGCCAACTTGGTAGACCAGTCGACACGCATCGTGCCCCAAATTGCACCGACCCCAGTTAATCGCAGAGCATCCGCAGTCACCGCGCCAACGCCCACATCGGCCCGTGGTCGACAATCGAACGCTGGCATATCAGTCAAAGAAGAATCTGCCGAACCTCCTGCGCCCAAGCCTGAGCGTAAATGTGTGCGCTGCAAGATTGAAGCTAGTCCGCGATGGTGGAAAGTTGACGCAGATATGCCAGCAACACAAGCGCCTCGTGTGGTAGATGGACCAATTGACCGTGATGGACAGACAGACCAAAACGGCCACGTTGAGAAGAAGCCTGTTGTCGAAGAGGGTCGAATCGTCAATGGCAATGGCCAAGACGATCGGCCAATGACGGATGCGCCAGCTGTCGCTCCACCTGCGCATAACACTTTGCGGTTGAATACTGATGTGGACGCTGCTTCCTCAGCTTCGTATATATGCCAGAAGTGTCATTGGAAGAAACAAAATGGTACGACTGACGACGAGGAAGAGCGAGCGAGGTCGGTATCGATCTTCAAAGAGCCACCGCAGACATACCCTTTGCCGGCAACTCAGATACCACCATATCCACCTCCACCTCCCTCCTTAGCAGGAGGATGGACATTACCAGGTGGTCCCGCACCAGGCCAGCCCCCTCCGCTACCCTCCTGGCATAGCGGTGTCCCTCCGGGACCTGGACATCCCCCGCACCATCTACCCAACGGGAATGGATACGGACCACCACCACTACAGGGCCCACCTGTTGGTCATATCCCTTCGTTCCATGCACCGTACCCACCTCAGCCGAATGGCTACGCGGCTTTCTCAGGTGCACCAATGCACTCTGCGATAGCAGCCGCAGGGCTTCGGCCACCGTACTCAGGACCGCCTATTAGTGGACCTCCCCAGCTACATCATAACAACGGCGCAATGATGGTCAACGGTGCTATGCAATCCCCACGGACGATTCCGTATTCGCCAACTCATCCTCATGCCCATCCGGCCTCGCGTGAAAGCCCATTCACTGCTCCTCCAGCAGTCGCGCAGTACCCCGTACTGCACCACGGTAGCCCTGCCCCTGGCAGACCGGCAACACCCATGGACACGGTGATGCGCGATGCTCCAGCAGTGACGTCGGCGCCCACCGAACGCGCCAATACCGGGGCAAGTGCTAGCCCATCTCTCCGCAACTTGTTACATTAGACTTTCCTTTCGCTCCTTCTCCTTTCTATCTGTGTAATCCGTTTCATCTGAACTTGAAGCATGGGATCGGAGTTGATGCCTTTGGGCGTTTTCAGTGTTGGTTGCAGGAATATGACCTCACAGGACGCCATATTGCGAAACATACGGGGAACACGGTGGAAGTATAGAGTATGGCAGTGAATCCGTTACTGGGCATGTAATTCGGCGTCTGGTGGCATTATACCACAACGTTTACTCTGTGTTTTATCATTTTCCCAGCTTTAGAGTCAGCGACGCTGGCTCCCGACAGTACTGAATACATTTTAAACTTGTCATCATTTTGTCTCCATTGTGCGGTCTGTTGTGCCGTGAAGTTCTCCTCAACTTGTTTAAAGTTTGATCTACCAATATCTTGGTATACACGAAAAAAGAAAAAAGGCTTCTGCGGCGGCAGCGGCGGCGGCGGGCCATGGCTGTCTGACGGTAGCGCACGTGCTCGAGTATGCCCGATACATGTACTAGAAAACACAGGTTTCAACACAGTAGAATGAACCTCACCGACTGTTGCATCATAGCTCACGCGCAGCTTCCAAAGCGATAAATGCTACAGCCACATTTTGGCAGTCGACGTCGCGGAGTGAGGTCCGCCACATCCAGCCAGGCCTGCAAGGAACAAGCTTTCCAGCCCTGCAGGGCACGGGTCGCGATCCACTCCTATCCACGCGTCCCTTGCATACCTCATCCCGACCTCCCCAACCTCGAATTCTGGATCTGCCCCAGCCACAATAGTCGTCGCTTTTCTTTTGATTCTTTCTTTTGCGTCATTCATTTATCGAATCTCTGTTTTCATAAGTTTCCATTTATTTTCCATCAAGCCACTTCCTTGAGTATATACCGTCGAGGTTCAGCCACCTCCCATTAGCCGCCCTTCCATCCATCCCATCTTGAAACCTAACACATCCACGCCTTACACATCTGAAACAAGACCCGTTGCCAACCCTCTCCATACGCGACACACCTCCCTCTCGGGAAGCTAGTCGACCGAAGGAACGAACGACGTAGAAGTGGCGCAGCCTATCCATTAACCGCTCATATCGACCATATTATCTCCCTGAACTGCGGCACGTACTGGGCTTATACCAGTCGATCCTCCCTCCTACGCTCTGAACATATACATCCACGACTCGCCTTTTCCCGAGAGTTGGACACACACACACACACATACACCACATCACAGCCATGCCTTTATTATCATTAACAAAGAGATACTACTGTGTCGACGACTTTGCTGGAGGAAGGGAATGCTATGAAGGTGATGATGGTTTTTGGTACACAGATGTATGTCTACCTTTTACCTCCTGCTCACGAGACGTTAAACTAACAACGCAACAGAAAGGCATAATCGTGAAATGGATAATACTTGCATCGTTCTTTGTCATCTTCTTCGGATGGTTCGTAGGAGGTCGTATCCACGCAAAGCAAAGGTTAAGAAAGGGCCTTCCACTGCTCGGATACCATCGCGTACGTCTACCCCTCTTCCCCCTTCAGTGTCGACGACGCCATCAAATACTAACAAGCAGTGCAACAGTTTCTGATATCCTACTCGGAACGTCGCCGCCATGGCCAAGTCCCCCAGAACCACTTCACCTTTTACCAAACACAAAACCCCTACGCACCCAACCCACAGTACACACAGAGGCAGGACGGCACATGGGCGGAACCCCCGCCGCTGTACCAGAACACCGATGCGCCACCACAATATTTTGCGCCACCGCCGCCCGGTGCCACCAAGGCGAACCCTAACCAAGGGGCGCAGGCTATGGAGATGCCGTTGTACGGTGCACCACCACAAGGAGTACCTCAGCAGACGGGACCTCAGCAGAGTGGTGTCATTGGTGCGGATGTAGAACAGGGTCAAACACAGGAGCTACCACCTCGACCGGCAAAGGCGAAGCTTATGGGTGTATTGGATCGCTTTAGACGGTAGACAGAATACATAAGAAGATGGCGCAAGCGCTGGGAAGAATACGTGACTGGATCACGTTTATTGCATTCATGTATTAACAAGCTGTTGAACCATATCTCTATAATAATTTGATGACCAAGCAGACGTAATATTCATTCACTCAATAATCAATCAATCAATGTCCATGGCATCGCCGTCTCCGTCTGCAGGTGTTGCCGTAGGTTGGGGTATCGCATCCATCATCCTGTCTTCTCTAATGATAGGACCACTACTGTGGTAGTTATTCCTTGCCAAATCTACATTCTCAGGTTCCGTTACTGGGTTCACCTGCTTATCCCTGATGCGTTGTCTTGCCTCTACAATGGCCTTGCGCACGTTGTCTTGAGCCTCGGGTACTGTCAGACTTGCAGGTACATTGTACAGGACCAACTGGTTCTTGTCCGTGGGCTTGGGCTCCGGGCCCAGTAAGATGTGCTTTGGTATCTTGGAGAGATGCTTTTCGATATCGGAAAGGAAAATGGGATTCTCTTCGTCGGACTCAATGTCGGAGAGTTCAGCGCTTAGGTCGGAAATGTAGACTCTGTGGGGGGTGTCTTCTACCTGCATGCCGGTCTCTTCTTCTTGGGCGCGGGGGAAGCGTGGCTTGCGAGGCTGTTTCCGCCTGGAGGCGACAAAGGCCAGAGGGTCGCCATAGGAGGTGGGCGATTGGGATTGGCGCGGGAGTGTGGCATCTGTTGAGCCCGGAACAGGGATGTAGAGGCGTGTGCCATTGTTGTCTACTGCGATGGTACAGTTAGCATGGCAATCTAGCGTCTGCGGGGGGATTGAGCATACCCAAGTTGAGCAAGTCGAATCGCTTACTCAGCCGCTGCTCGTTCTCGAGGGAACTGTCTGCGGCTCTCTTGGTGCCGTGGGGCGCATTCTGTTGCGCATAGGGAGGAGGGTTGCTAGCGACTTGCGCCATGCATCGCAGCTTTGGGGGTGAATCTGTTTCACGGGAGTCGAGGTCAGGTTGCAGTGCGAGTCCGAGACAGCCGATTGGTAGAGCGGGGTGATTATCTGGCGATAGTGGTGCTGTTACGGTGGTGCGATCGGGGCATGGTGCTGGCTGGGGTTGTTATAATGGACATGTAGTCTAGGCGCAGTTACGTGAAGCTTCCAGAAGGGCTGAGGCCACCGTCGGTCCTCCGAAGCTCCTACGCCCGCCGCCCGCCGCCCAGTCAGCCCCGCAATCGCTGCACTGGCCTGCAGCTCGGCGCCCGCACCCACATGTTTTCGTGAATGCGCCAACTACTGATTAGAGCCCCTCTGAGTCACCAAAGGGTTAGACTTGCCAGTCAACCACGGCTTAGCTGTCTCAGTCAATCAAGCCACAGCTCTCTCCACCATACGAGACTCTTCACCCACACACGACATCTTTCGCTGCCCCTCCACCACGACGGCAACGCGCAGGCCGCAAACATGTCGCTCGTAGACGAGAAGCACGAATGGAGCGCCCTCCGCGTGCGCCAGACCTTCCTTGACTACTTCAAGCAGCGTGGACACACCTTTGGTGCGCTTCTCCTGTCACACTCCAGATGCATGCCAATTGACAACAACAAAAACAGTGCCTTCCTCATCCGTCGTCCCCCTCTCCGACCCCACCCTTCTCTTCACCAATGCGGGCATGAACCAGTACAAGGCCATCTTCCAAGGCACCATCGACCCCTCGTCCGACTTCGCACAGCTCAAGCGCGCCGCCAACTCGCAAAAGTGCATTCGCGCTGGTGGAAAGCACAATGACCTCGACGATGTTGGCAAGGACAGTTACCACCACACCTTCTTCGAGATGCTGGGAAACTGGAGTTTCGGCGACTACTTCAAGACCGAGGCCGTAGGCTTCACCTGGGAGCTTCTCACAAAAGTCTACGGCATAGATCCCAAAAGGTTGTACGTGACCTACTTTGAGGGAACAGATGAGCTGGAGCCAGACCTGGAAGCCAAGGAGCTGTGGAAGAGCGTGGGCGTGCCAGAAGACCACATTCTGCCCGGAGACATGAAGGACAACTTCTGGGAGATGGGTGACCAGGGGCCATGCGGACCTTGCTCAGAGGTACACTACGACCTGAGAGAGCCAGTCAACGGAGAGTACAGGAACGCTGCCTCGCTCGTCAACATGGACGATCCCGAGGTCATCGAAATCTGGAACAACGTCTTCATGCAGTACAACCGCGAACCCGACCGATCACTACGACCCCTACCGAACAAGCACATCGATACCGGTATGGGCTACGAGCGTTTGGTTTCGGTGCTACAACACAAAAAGTCAAACTACGACACCGATGTTTTCACACCACTGTTCAAGAGGATACAAGATATCACTGGAGCGCGCGAGTACAGGGGACAATTCGGCGACCAAGACCCGGATGGTATCGATACCGCATACCGAGTTGTCGCCGATCACGTTCGCATGATGAGCTTTGCCATTGCCGACGGTGGTGTACCTAACAACGTCGGCCGGGGCTACGTCGTCCGCCGAGTGCTACGACGAGGTGCACGATATGCGCGCAAATACTTTGAGACGGACATTGGTGACTTCTTCTCCAAAATTGTCCCCACACTGGTCGATCAGATGGGCGACATGTTCCCAGAGATCAAGAAGAAGCAACAGGACATCATGGAGATTCTGGACGAGGAAGAAAAGGCATTCGCCAAGTCGCTGGATCGTGGCGAGGTCATCTTCGAAAAGTACGCGCAGAAGGCCAAGGCCAAGGGCTCAGACGACTTGCCTGGAGATGATGTCTGGCGGTTATACGACACCTACGGTTTCCCCGTTGATCTGACAAAGCTCATGGCTGAAGAGCGAGGCTTGAAGATTAAGGATGAAGAGGTCGAGGCCGCACAAGAAAGAGCTCGCGAAGCTAGCAAGGGCGACAAGAAGGCCGGCGCGGTAGTTGTCAAGTTCGACGTACACGACCTTGGTGCGTTGGAGAACATGCCCGAAGTCCCCAAGACCGACGACTCCGCCAAGTTTGGTCGCGAGAACATTACCGCCACCATCAAGGCGATATACCACAACAAGAAGTTCCTTAAGAGTACAACAGAAGTACCGGAGGGGGAGCAATTTGGAGTCTTGCTTGACAAGACAAACTTCTATGCCGAACAGGGTGGCCAGGAGTTCGACACCGGAAGGTTGTTAGTAGATGGCGAGGCTGAAATCAGTATTGAGAACGTACAGGTCTACGCCGGCTACGTACTACACACTGGTTACATCAAGTACGGTGAGCTGAGCGTGGGCAGCGACGTCATTGCCGAGTTCGACGAGCTCCGAAGACATCCCATCCGTAACAACCACACCGGCACCCACGTTCTCAACTACGCTCTCCGGGAAGTCCTTGGTAACGAGGTCGACCAGAAGGGTTCGCTCGTCGCACCGGAGAAGCTGCGTTTCGACTTCTCACACAAGGCGGGTCTGTCAGACGCGGAACTGGACAAGGTTGAGAAGATCTCATCCGAGTACATCAAGCAGGACTCGCAGGTATACGCCAAGGAGGTACCTCTCGCATCCGCAAAGGAAATCCGCGGTGTCCGTGCCGTCTTCGGTGAGACTTACCCCGACCCGGTGCGTGTCGTCTCTGTCGGAGTACCAGTCGAAGAGCTCCTCAAGGATGTCAAGAACGAGAAGTGGGAAAAGCTTTCCATCGAGTTCTGTGGTGGTACGCACGTGCTCAAGACAGGCGAAATCAAAGAACTCGTCATTCTCGAGGAATCCGGTATTGCCAAGGGCATCCGCCGCATTGTCGCTGTAACAGGTCAAGAAGCCTACAACGTGCAGCGTATCGCCCGTGAATTCCAAGAACGTGTACAAAACATGGGCAAGATGGCTTTCGGACCCCAAAAGGAAGCTGAAGCCAAGAAGATCGGTGTCGATCTTAACAACCTCACTGTCTCTGCCATTGCGAAGAGCAAACTCCGGGAGGAATTCGCTAAGATCCAAAAGAGCATTCTCGACGAGCAAAAGGCCGCTGCCAAAGCCGATAACAAGCGCGTACTTGATGAGGTGACCAAGTTCTTCGAAGACGACAGCAAGAAATTTATGGTCAAGAAGTTGGAATGGTCAAGTACTGTCAACAAGGCTATCAGCGAAGTTATCAAGACTATCTCTGGGCCTAAGAGTGCGCTCAAGGATCGGTCGTTGTATCTCTTCTCCGCTTCGCCTGAAGAGGGTAAGGTTGTGCATGGGTGTTATGTGAGCGAGGTATGTTCTTCTTGCAGACCCTGACTCTCTCGACAGCAGTGCTAACGTTTCCATGTAGCCATTCAAGAACGCAGGTGCCGATGGACCCAAGTGGGCTGCTGCTGTCACTCCAATTATCGGTGGCAAGGCAGGTGGAAAGCCAGGCGCTCCTACTGCCATTGGCCAGGGTACGAACGCGGATAAGGTTGATCAAGGTGTTGAGGAGGCAACAAAGTGGATCGAGAATCTCAAACTCTGAGATGGTACTTTGAGGTGCTGAGATGTGAGCATGTAAGATCCCGTCTTGGTATATTAGACGGAGCGAGAGAATCTTAGATACGCAAGACCCAATGCATATGCATGAAAATGTACTGCCATGTCCAAACAGAAATCTCATGTCATGATCACGCAAAGTCTAGGGCACAGTCATTATGATTCGCGTCATCAACCTCTTACATGTAAAAACATGTTGCAGCTTTGGAACTTGATAATAGCGTATCCATAACAAGCAGCGAAGGACTCGTAACTCTAAAGATGTAAATTACACTTCTTTACCCCCTCCAAACCAAAAACAGATACCAAGCCCCGCCAAGGACAATCACAGTCTTCAGACTCGTCCTGAACTCCCACCAGAACAAGGCCAGTCCTTTTCTCCGTTTCCTTGGCTTCCTAGCAGCCTTGGTGCTCACACCATAGACTCTGACCTTCTTGTCCCTATCATGATCGTCATCATCGTAGTCCTTGGTAGGGTCATAGCCCGCATGTTGTACCAACGGGAGATTATATCTGGATTGTTGACTTTGTTGTTGCTGCATGTTGCGTGTTTGAGTGGTTGTGCGGACGGATAGGTTCCCCATGCGTTCAGAAGACGTTGAGGAATTTGACGAATGTGATTCCTTCTCCGCTGCTGTCGTAGCAGGGAACGTGCTTGTATTTGTTGTAGGCAGGAGAGGACTCTCAGTCGTCATGTCTGCTTCGCTTGAGGAGACGACGCCGAGAGTAACGAGAGCCGCGCGAAGTATCAGAATCATCAACGTAAGGCCAAATAGCAACCCGTATTTGAGAAATGTGCCGATTTGATCTGGAAGTAGACATAGCTTTGTTTGAATTGTCTTGCTCGCATCGCCGTTCTTGGGGTTGCCGTGTACGTCGACAGGATTCCATAAGCTGACGAGTTGTACACCAGGAAGTCTAACGCCCATGGCCCAGCTAGTGCTCTTGACAGTGATTTCTCGTATGCCGCCACCGGCACTAGTATATGCTTTGTGGAGAACCTCGCAGTAATCGTGGTCGTCGCCTGAGAAGGCGTATCGTATGTCTCCCACTTTCTCGGCTATGTCGGCAGTGATCTCGCGGTTGAGCACATTTTGGTATTGGTATCCGCCGCGCACGGAGATGGCGTTGCGGTCGTCGTGCTCGAGGGGTGGTTGCCCAGCTGGTGGAGGGGTTGGGGGCCAGTGTTCGCGAAGAGGTCCGCAGGGTGTACCTGGTGCGCGGTAGAGAGGGACGTGGGTGAGGAGAATCGTAGGGAATTCGGTGATTTCGTCATTGGCGTGTGGAAGTTCGGATGTCGCTAGGTCTTTCTTCTCAATTGCGTAGTGAGGCATACCAGGGTAGGGTCTGAGGCCCTGCTGGGCACGTAGCTCGCGCTGTATCAGACGCCTTTTACGCTTTTTCGCATCTTCGAGGAAGTCTTTCGTAGGTCGCCATAGCTTCTCCACCTGTTCTGGTGATTCTTGACCGAGTGCGCTTAGGGAGACGCTGTCGATTGAGACGAAAGTGTGATTTGCAATTATGTCGATTCTGCTTCCATCACCAAAGTATGCATTGAACCTGTCTCGGACGCCTTCTTGCACTCCTCTGGCAAATCCCAGGTCATGGTTACCAGGTAAACTGCTTATGAGCTTCCTCCCAGGTTGTCCAGGTCTTGGCTGCATACCCCCGTCACCCCAGTGCTTGAAGAATATGTCCCCGAATCTTCTGTACTCGTTCATCCAAAAGTCGTTGCCATACTTGCGATATTGTTTTTCAGGCGAAGTAGTGGTGCGCGTAGACCATTCGCGGCCACCATCAAATAGATCGCCAAGGAAGAATATAGTGTCAGGGTATAGGATAGTCTGAAAGCGAGAGTAGGTGCGGCGAAGGTAGAGATCCGTGTACTTGTAGGCAAGAGGGTTGAGAGGCCACGGGCGACCTGGATACGTGTGCGGATCTATGAGTTGCGGGTCGGCGACGAAGACGAGTCTGTGGGGGTTTGCGCCAGCTTCCTAGACACGTAGTTAGTCTTGCGCACATGTACAGATATCGGATGGTATGCTCGTACCCAGTTTTCCCAGTTGTCCCAGTTGCAGCTCTCCACAGCGCTGTTGAAGACACCTCTTTCGCCCCAGTATAAAACTACCCACCACAGCAGCACCAGCGCTCTCACAAGCGTAAACAGCCGCTTGAAGCTCCAACTTCCACTTTGCAGTTCATTCCTCTTCTCCTGCACAGCAGGCCGTATGCGATATAAGAAGAAAGCCCGCACCAGCCGCCATGCTTGGTGGGTTAAGCTCTCCGGTTCTGAGTATGCGCCGACGGGAACGCCATACTCGTCGTAGGTTGTCATTGTCTATCAAAGAAATGAAAGAGTTGCTGGTGCAGCATTTTGGAAACAGGTTGACGTCGAAGGGAACGTTACGCAGTCGTGAACATGTCGCCTACGTAATGCTCAAAGGGGCACCAGTTGCGTCGTGTTAATGGTCTGGGGAAAATGCGGCCAGGGTCCGCCCGGGCGAGGCTGATCTGCCGCTACGAGGGACCCGACGCGGGCGTCTGCAGTGTAACTCTGCTCATCACCAAAACACATGACATGATGCTGCACACGTCCAAAATGCGTCATCTAAGTAATCTTCTCGAACATATGCAAGTGATATCATTTGGAACATGCTAAAAGTACAAACAACATTTTCCCTTCCCCTCTAGTACTCAAGTGTCACCTCTTGACCCTTGACCCGACCAATAACGATCTCAGGTGCGTACTTGGGAATGACTTCATCGTCGTGCAGCATCTCAAACTCCTCTGATGCATCTTTGCCCATATGGCTAAAGAGCGCCTGAGGACCTCCTGGGTGCTCATCTGTCCAGTTGGTCACGTCCATGACAATACCCTTTACGGCGATCCATAGATCATCCTTCTTGTTGTGCTTCGCAACCTCCTCGAGCGAGAATTCCTTGTCTGGAATGCTGAACTTCTTGGGTGCGTTGGGCTTGGAAACCTTGCCGGGGTCACTTGAGTCGCCGTTTGAAGACATGACCGGAGCGGCGGATTCCTGCTTTTGATGCTGAACGGGGTCCGACGACGAGCTGGCGCCGGCTTGAGCGTTTCCACTGACACCGTTGCCCCACTCGACGGATACCTTGCCCGGTTGTGATGGGTCGATGTGTAGCGAGATCTGACCGAGACGGTTTACAGCGGCACCACCAGACTTGTTGAGCGCTTGTTGGAAGAGGTACTTGGAAGCAGACTCTCCTGCTACACGACCGTAGACAACGCAGCCAAGGAGTGATGAGCCACCGAGGCGGTTGGCACCATGGACACCACCAGCAAGCTCACCACAGACGTACAGACCATCGAATGGCTTGCCCTCGGAGTTCAAGCACTGTGCTTGGTCGTTGATCTCGATACCACCCATGGTGAAGTGGAGTACAGGCTCCATTTGCGCAACGTGGAAGGTGTCATTGATGTCAAAAGGCAGGTTGTGGAAGTACTTTTTGTTCCACTCGTCCTTCTTCTCGCCCTTTGCAATCGCGTTGTAGCTTTGGAACTCTGCTTGGAGGTCCTTGTCGCTGACACCAATCTCCTTGGCGAGCTCTGCACCAGTCATCTTCTTCATCAGGCCACGGCCAGAGTAATGTCTTGTGTGGAAATCGAGGACGTTGGATGCTTTCGAGTTGAGGACGAGGCGAATGGGCCAGTTGCCCTTGTCCTTCTCGCCCCACATCATACCGGAGACGTAGTCGCGGTGACCGAGGTCGTCGCAGAAGCGCTTGCCCTTGTTGTTGAGAAGAATACCACCCTCACCACGGAGAGCTAGGAACTGTCAGCGTGGAACAACGAAGTCGGTAGTAGTGTACAAACCTTCAGCGGCCAGGAACTTAGTCTTCGCCGTAGGGTCCTTAGGGTCTACCAGACCGGTAGGATGAACCTGAACCTTGTCCATGTCGATGCCGTTGGCACCAATCTTCATCAGCATCTTGTGTCCATCACCGGTGGCGTGAGCACCGTTGGTGGTGGAGAGGTCGTAGGTGTCTGGCCTCCACTTTTTCAGAAGAGAGTCCTCTGTAAAGTCGGCGGCATAACCACCAGTGGCCAGGATGACAGGGCCCTCAAGTGTTGTCTCCTCGCCGTTGAATGTGTAGGTGACACCGGTAGCACGGTTGCCTTCGGTGTTGATCTTGGAGACCTTGGCCTTCTTGACGAGCTGGACGCGCTCTGGCTCCTGCTCGGCCAACTCTTCGAATCGTTGCATCAGGGCGTATGTGATGGCCATTCCGGGGAACTTGGCATCGTGGCCACGGTGGGTACGAGGTTGGGAGTGACCACTGTCAAAGTCAGTACATGTGTGAGATGCGGGAATAACGTCAAACGTACCCCAACCGCGAAACGAGAGTCAGATCGAGGTTGAAAACGTCCATCAACCACTCGACGGCAGCAGCGGACTTGTAGGTCAGAACCTTGATCAGGTCTGGTCGCGCCTTGTCTCGCGCAGATTTGAGTGTGTCATCGTAGAACTGCTTGACGCTGTCGCCAATCTTCTCATCTACTTGTGTCCTTGTAAGGGCACCGTTGATTCCGGATGTAGCCTTGGTGGAGTTGCCTCCCATGAAGTTGTTCTTGTCCAAAAGGACGACATTTCCACCAGCAAGGTAGATGGTATGAGCAGCGCTCAAGCCGGACACTGTCGTCGTGGTTAGCTATGCGCGTGACGGCATATGATGCAGTGATGCTTACAGCCAGCGCCAACAACAATAACTCTCTCAGGCATGGTGATGAATGCAGACGAAGAGGGAATGAAAGTAAAAGACGGGGTATCGAGAGAGCAGATGAGGGCGAAAAGTCTGGGGATCGGCTTCTGCTTTGTATGGATGCAACGGATAGGATGCTCGGCTTCCAGCTAGCACTTGAATCGTCGCAACTTGTGCCTCGGAAGTGGAGAATGCGCTAACCCGCATGCACCTGTCGCCGGGCGGACCCAATCATGTGGCGGCTGTTTGTACGCCAGAGATGTGAGATTCACCCAGACGAGCCTGGATTGCGCTGCTGATGGTAATATCAAGCAACTGCTCAGCTGTCGCATGTGAAGACGCTCGTCTCCGTCACTATACACATGACTTGGGTATGCGAGGCGTGGTTGGCCCCATGCGCAACGCTGACCTCTCCTTCGGACGGAACGCCGAGGAGCTGGGGCTTGGAGAACCTGGGGCAAGTCACGCGTGGGAACACGCAACTCGCCGTTGGCATGTGAAGGCTAGAGCACATGTGATACTAAGCCTAGCTAGCCACAACCATAACTCTGGAACATCGTCGACGCAATGCATTCGCCGCTCGTTGTTCTTTGAGTTGAATTGTTACGATGTTTGTTGATGCTTGAGCTTCACGATGCTCGTAATGGCAAATCCTTCCGCACAGGCATCAAAGCCCGATCGGTGTTTGCTCGCACGAGCGCAACACTTAGCGGGCGATATTGCCGTCTTCGGAACTACAACAAGTCTATGAACTCATATCGGAGTATCATCTTATACCGACTTTTCAAGTCGCTCCGACGTCAAGGTATCAAACTTCGCATTCAAGACCAAGGTTGCGTTATTTCAACTTCATTCTGTGCGTACAAAACGCTTCGGGGTAGCTGTTGCCGACGCCGCCAGACCTGGCTCGGTACGTTCTCGCGCGAGGTCGACCCTGGGCACCGAACAGAACTCCAACTGTGTCAACAACGTATTGCGAACTGCCTGTTTACTCTATATCTGGGGTATCCAAAGCCAAGCTTACGAGAATAGCGGGTCCGACCCGTCGGCGCTGCAGGATCCTAGGCCCGGATATTTCAGGACATGCAAATCCGTAGCTCCGACCGAGGGCAAGCAAAACACTGTGTAACCATTTGTTTGCCTTCCTGACCTTGTACTACTCTCCAGTCCTCTGAACAGCCTCATGCCAGATGTTTTCCGTTGCCGGTCCCCTTAGTGACAGGCGACCGACTTGGTGGACGAAGACTGGCTGAACATCAGGTATCCGACGAATGCACCCACTGCGACAGCAAGCATAATCCAACCGTTGTACGTCATGAAAAGCAGCCTATGCATATCAGCCACAGCCCTCGACTCCGCCTTCATTGCAAAAACACTTACATGATGAAGAACGAATAGAAAACCTGCACAGCATACAAGACAGCCTTGATCATCTTCATCTGCTGCTCGGCACTACGCCCAACGCCTCCGTTTCTCCCTGGGCCAAGTAATGAGCTAGATTCATCTGCGTCGTCTTTGTACGCGTAAAGTTTACTCAGCGAGTGTTCCTCAAGGTGGTGATTGAAGTGAAGAAAAGAGACCTCCCTAATCTCCTACTTCCACGCCTGCCTCTTAGAGTCTTTCCACTACCCCGGTGGTACTTGTATAGAAGAAGTGCACTCACCTCTGGGTCCCTCCATGATACCCTTTGAGTACGCCTCATAGCGCCTTGATATTTCTCGGATAGCTTCGTACCCAGCTGTGAGCAGGACTACGGCGAGTAGCGAAAAGATGAGTGAGCCGGTGCCCGAGATATGCCATGAGGGGAAGACAATGCAGAGGTCGGTCGTGTCCCACGTAAACAACATCTATCACATCATCGAAAGTCAGCGTATGTTCGTTTGAGTATCGATACGAGGAGAGAAGGGTGCAACCGTACGTTCATGTTGCACTTGGGCCCGTCGCCGCCCATGCCAGGCATGTCGTGGCCCATGTGGCCGCCGTGATCCATGTGCGAATGGTCCATCTTTCTGCCGTGCTTTGCTATTGGAACTGGTTGAGATAGTTTGTTACTGGGAGGAAGGAGGTATGGACGATGGACTTGTGTCTCAAGATAGGCGGGTCTAGGAGCGACATGTGATGGCACGCGTCGCACCAGTGATCGACGCATGCACGCACGAGCCGCGGCTACGCGGGGGCGAGAAGCTCCCCACTTGTGTTTGGACCCTTGATTGATTACATCGATGACTTTGTACATTTCAAAGCACGTCAGGCAAACTTATTGCACTGACTTTACAAAGTGAAGTTCGAACGTCATATGCGCAACACACCACCATGAACACAATGCGATCATTACGACCAGCCATTAGACTCGCGCAAAGCGCCTCGCGACCGCTATCGCGTACTCCCGCAGCACTCTCACAACGCCACTTCTCGCAGTCGCAATCACATCGAGAACTAGGCCCACCGTTGAACATACCAAAATGGTACATACACCGAATTCCATACAGATTCTCAACCGCTCCATTCAACACGAAGCAACACAGCTAACCCATCATTCCAGGGTCTCCGAAAACTCCCACATGCTCAAACCCCCAATCAACAACTATTGCGTCTACTCCGACCCCGTAACCGTAATGATAGTCGGCGGCCCTAATGAACGAACCGACTACCACATCAACGAAACTGCAGAATGGTTCTACCAACACAAAGGTTCCATGCTCCTCAAAGTTGTCGATACCTCGTTACCATCGGGTCAGCAGTTCAAAGACATACATATAAATGAAGGAGACATGTTTTTGCTGCCCCCAAATACTCCGCATAATCCCGTGCGCTTCAAAGATACGGTAGGTGTGGTGCTGGAGCAGAAGAGGCCGGAGGGTAGCCTGGATAGGCTGAGGTGGTATTGTCAGAATTGTGGTGACAAAGTGTACGAAGCAGCATTCCATTGTACGGATCTCGGTACGCAGATCAAGGATGCGGTGAATGCTTTCAAGGCGGATACGGAGAAGAGAACATGTAAGAGCTGCGGAACACTTTGTGATACTGCGCCACAACCAAAGAAGGCCTAAAAAAACAGAACTGAATGAAGAGTATGTATGATATGTACTGTAGTGCAATGGAGATTGGTAGTCTTGTCTAGAGGCCTTTCCACATGATCTTCGAAATGTGATCCGTCTTCTTTCGACTGGGTCTTACTAGGCCGAGGTGCCTGAGCTCAGCTAGGGCTCGCTGGAAGAGCGCCCTGTAACCTGTTAGAATACTTTGTTTGTGGTATATGAACGTGGACTTACATGGTCTTGGGCTCATTCTCCTCCGTTCCATCTCCTGCAATGGCATTGAACGCCGACCACAGATCTGTGACGTTGATCAACGTACCGGACTCAAGGTACATCTGATATACAATCGCTGTCGCAGGTTGGGTGGCAGAAAGAGCTGCAGGGTTTCCGTCCACTCCACTACAGCAGTCGCAGCTCAGATAGTCATGAGGAGAAGCAAGTGCGCGCTCAACAGCAAAGCGAGGCCTGGGTTGGAAGACTTCTGTGTGTGGTGACTTTAGGTCAAACACGAAGATCTCTGAAAGAACCAATATTTTTGGGTCGATTAACGAAGAGGTAAAGTACGTTTCGAGCTGGTCGTGGAATTGTGTAACTAATTCCGAATACGCCTTGTCTTGTTCCGACAGTGCAGCTTTGTGCTTACTGAGAAGTACTTTTTGTGCTACGACAGTGGTTCGTACACTATCATTGCGAACATCGTGTTGTGTTCGGAGAGGCGCATCGGCATTCTGTATCAAACTCTCGAGCTTGTCCTGAGCGGAAGCGGTATCCAGGGCGAAGTAGTCCCCCTCGAGATTTCGTAGTGATGATAGTAGAAGTACCAATTTATCGGATGGAATCTTCTTGATAGACAGCATCGTTTCGCGGATTAGAGGAGATCCAATGAGTTCACCAGCAGCTGCTCGAGTCCAAATAGAGGACAGACGGACGCTGGGTGACATCTGAAGAGACTCCCGGATGTTTGCCAATACTTTTGCAGCATGACTCAGTGTAGTCATGGAGTGTAGTCCAGATTGCAGATGTTTTGTGATCTGAGCGAATAGAAGTTTGTTCTCTTCAAGTATCCCTCGTACATCTTGCACTTGACCACCCTCTAGCATGTTTTCGACCCAATGACGGAACGAGGGCAAAGTACGGACAGCCTCAAACGCGTCCGCTGATACTTGTTCGAAAGCAACATCATGCTTGAGAAAGACACTAGGCACACTAGCATAGAAGTGCGACATGTAGGCGTACTTCAGCCCATCGCAGAAATCCTGTGTGTTCTGAACATGATCCTTTTGCCGATCCAGCATACGGCGGCAGAGATTGGCGCCAACGTGAAGTCGAGCATCTGTGCCAGCGATAGTTGCGCGGAATAACTTTTCAATGATTTCATCAGATTGGGTAACGTCGAACTTCTGGCCATCAAGGTAGCGGAGTGAGTTCCCTGCTAGGCGCTCCTCGAAGCTCTCTGCTGAAGTCGCAATGCCAAAGAGTAGGACAAAAGGCAGACGGTCGAGCCATGAGCTATAGAAGTCAGCGTATACCATCGCCAAACACAACAAACTTACTGAAGCAGGTCAACTACATCGACAAGTAGTCCAACATCGAAAGCTTCGCTATCTTGTAGAGCAACAACAATGCTAGAAGCGCGATTCTGTCTATTCCATTCTTGAACATGACCGAGATCGTAGTTGAGCAACTTAGGCCCATGCTTTGAAGATGCGGCGGGCCGACCTAGGTCATCCTCATCATCATCTTCCACGCGTGAAGTGACCTTCTTAATGAGCGTTTTGAGGAACGTCTTCAAATTCGGACATTCACCAGACGTTAACACGACATAGGCGCAGTTGACGTCTCTGATACCGCGTCCCAAGCGTTGGAAAAAGGGGCCATGGGATGCAATACTGGGACCAGCCACGATGAGCGCTGTCGGTATGGCAAATTTGGGCTCATCTGGTGATGCACTGGAAGCCGAGACGAAGTTGACAATCTTTTCTTGGGTGGCACTATCTGCGCCCTCCAAAGTACTCTAACAAAATTAGCAGCTGTTTTAGATATGCGGAAATGCGGCTCACTTGAATGCGCTCTTCTTGTTGTGCCCACAACTCCCGATACGTGGCTAGCCGTTCTGGTAGCTGCGCTTGTGGATCGAATTTGCCGGTTCGCTGTCGCTTTGGCGATCGCTCTTCTGACTCTGGCGGTTCATATATATAACATTTCTGATGCTCCATCTTCGTTTGTTGTCTGGCGTGATGACTACTCTATCTGTTCGATGTTGTTGATGTGCAAGGGCTAGGGGAAGGCGCGACGAATCGCGAATCGCGTGAGCACGGGACTTGGTGATTTGGTCAAAGCTCACAGCCTGCTCTCTCTTGAGAAACTGAATACCAGCGCACCACTGTCGCACGAATGCCGATGTTCTGGAAATTGGAATACCATAGCTTGTTTGTATTTTGCTTGCACGTTATCTCTACTTGAGTATTCTCAAGAATCCTCATTCATCTTCGCATGCTCAGCAATTCATTGACTGAGAGCTATTGCGGCTGAGGCCCAGAATGCACCTATAAGGCGCCTCACCTTTGTCTAATATTAGACTACATATTGTGGACGTGAAGAAATTAGGTTCCTTGCTTGGACTAGAGGTCCTTGACAGTTGCATCTTCCGGAAGTCATTGTCATACTGTAAAAGCGACTCCGAGTATAACAGTCACAAGATTGCGCGATTTCCAGACGTACCAATACGCGTTCCCGCCTACTCTGGGCCCTAGGGCGAGTAGTAGTCGTGTTTGTAGCTTCCTTTACTAAGATTTCTTCGCATAATGAAGGCTTTCATCTTTCAGTCATGGTCCTCTTCAGTAACTCCAGGGCATCCTTCCATTTCTGCGTCTGGGTATTCGTAGCCACAGTAGAGACAGTATCGGTATTCTTCACGCAGAAACACCAGAACCTTTTGCAAGCGCTCCGCTACAGGCAAGGCCTCAAATTCTGCCAACTGTGGGTCCTCATCTTCAAGCTCGTTCTCAAGAGTAGTGTAGAATGGCGCAAGGTCTCGACCTTGCGCTATCTTTGAATCGTCGTCATCGTCTTCGGCGGCTAATGTGGGTAATCGTGACGAAATACTGTTGTTCAGTTCTCGGCGTTGTTGCTTGTCGCGCTTGCCCTCCATCCTGCGACGCGCACGAACACGCCAGAGGACATTGATGTCCTTCAGTGGTTTCTCACTTGGATCTGTCGCGCCTTCCGCTTCAGCGTTCTTGTCGGACAAGCGCTCAGCTGTCCTCTGCGCGTTATCCAGGTCCCGTTCTGCCTTCTTCTCCTTCTGTTCTTGGCGCAATATCTCGAGATAGTCACCCTCCTCTTCTTTTGCGCGCTTTGCTAGTCGGTCTGCTTCCTCGAACTGCTCCCTGAACTTGCGCTTCTTCTCCGACTCCAGACCGATGCCTCCTCTGTCGTCTTTAGGATTGACTCGGATAGGCTCTTTGCGTGCGTCTTCGGACTTGCCCAAAGCATCGCCTTGCTTGAAACCGAATTTGGCCATCATCTTGAATCCCTTATTGGTCTCGGGCAGGGCAGTAGCGAGGGCAGCTTCTCGTGCAGCTTCGGCTTCTTCTTGTTTTTCGGCCTTGGTCTTCTGTCGCGCTCTAGCTTCACCCTGTCAACGTGTTAGTGTAGCAAAATCCAGCAATGCCACCAGACGCACCTCTTTGCGCTTGCGCGCTGCGCGCTGTAGGGAAGTCTCAAACTTTGGTCCTTTTGGCGCATCGTCGAATACCATATTCATGTAGTCATCTTCCTCGTCTGATTGCGCCATCTTGTGCTGTTGAGCCTTGCGCTGGTAAAAAAAAATGTGTTGTCGCTCACCTCGCCAGCCACGACTCGCAGGCTGCCCGCAGCGGCAGCGACCCACTACATGGCGTTCCCTTGGCATATGCCAGGGCAGGCGATCCCCCGGACTCTTCTTTCGACTGCATCTCCTCGCCCAATCTACCACTACTAACATTTCTCAACCAGCGCTATAGTCACGCATCGAGCACATCTGGTCCAGGCATATCTTAGGCCGCCCAAACGGTTGAATCTCCCGCCATAGACCCAAGAGGCTCTAACAACGGTTAACGCCACTTACGGCACTCGGGAATGTGGGCTGGGCTGGTCTGGCCCTGCGTGACAGACACCCAAGGATTTGTAGACGGCATGAACCGCGTATCGCTGAAGCGTCGGATCCTACGGCAACGCACGATCGTGGGCGAGAAAATCATTCACTGGCACCCCTTGTCGTTCCATGTATGTCGAGTCGTGGAGAAGCAGCCGCTTGTTAGGTCCTGGGTCGGTTCGGCCTTGTGCAATTCGTCTCGGATCTCGTTTTTCATGTGAAGGGGCGGGGCTGGTGATTCCGTTACTTGATGCAATATACCGCTGTCCACCTGCTCCTTTGGACTGTTTCTTCGTCTGCAACAACGAGGCGCGGATCCCGAATACAGATCGACGACCGACAAGCAATCGCTTGCATTGGTCGCCGCTTCAGGGGGTTTTGTCCACTTCTAACCCCAAAAGGTACAGGGCCCGCGCTACCGTCTGGGGTAAGCAATGATCTGTCGCTATCCGGACTAGCCAGGGTTATTCGATATGATCGCGTGTCATTCCACTTAACGCCTTTTCGCCTTTGGCTGTAGTCGACACAGCCAATCTAAATAGTTCGACATGGCTAAGTAGCTTGGCTTTGCTTGCTGAACTGACCACTCACGGCTTTTTCGGCGCCATAGGTTACACAACTTGGCCACTGCTCCAAAGATTCGTCGCGCATGTGCAAGTTGATCCTTCGTTGGTTGGATTGCCTCGGCTTCGTATCCTTACCAGATAGGTGGTGAGTATTTCGGGCAATCTCCATAACAGGCTACGGTCTCGGGCAACCCGTCGCCTTGATGACCATCGCTAAGACGCCTGTCACTGATCGCACCCTTTTGACACCCGTCGTGCTGTCGGCCCATCACCAATGATAATCTGGCGCAAGAGGGGTCTCGGTGTTTTTGTGTGCATGTGCCAAATCTTCTGAGCATTCCCCAGCTTTTGACGACTTCAACGTGTGCTTTCCCCGCGTCCTCCGCCTTTATACCTTGTTTGGGTTATTCTTGGTATCTCTTCATCCTTCTACTTATTTCGCGTGTTAAGCCCTGCGGGTCCCCTGGAGAGTCCACAGGTGGCCTGAATCGCCATCAACCGGTGGATTCCAGATTTGTCGAACTTTACTCTACATCATCTTTACACCTAACAGAAGGCCTTCAGTATGGACGACAAGACCGCCGGACAGGCACGGGCAGACGATGTGTATACTACGCCCCAGAAGAAAGGCGGCGTCATCAACAAGCTGTATCCACCAGGGCCAACGCCAGGCGCAAAAGGACGCATGAAGAACCACTGCAGAAAATTTTGGTGGTGTGGTAAGTGTGTTCTAGTACCATCAACTTACTTTCTGTTTACACTACTTCAGATTGTCTGGTACTCGTGATCATTGTTTTGGTCATTGTTTTGCCAATCATATTCGTCGGTGTGCCAAAGAAGGCACAGCATGAGATCAATTCCTCGACAATCGAAGTTACTTCCCAAGAGGTGACGGATCCGCAAGCAGATGGGATACATTTAAAGATCGATACTGTCATCAGGAGTGATAGTAGTTACCACCCTAAGATCGATGCCTTCCGTGCCGGTTTGTCGCTCGAAGGCCAGGAGCCTTTCCTTTACGTTGAGATACCGGAGGCCAAATCTGAAGCAGAAACGCGTATTACTGTTGATCAAGACGTCAAGTTCGCGAACGCAGATGCATTTTCAAACTACACTCGAGCTGTTCTGGATGCCGAGACATTTGAAATCCACCTTGATGGCAAGACGACTATTCACCTCTCTGGTCTACCATCTATGGATGTCGATTATAACAAGGTCGTTACGATGAAAGGTATGCGCCCCTTGGACCTATGTTGGACCATAGTCTTAACATGTTTACAGGACTAAATAAACTTTCCGGGCTTAACATAATCGACGTTCGCCTTCTCTCCGGTAAAGACGAGATTTTGTCAGATGGCTCCAACCTTATTGCCAACGTCACCATTCCCAACCCGTCTGTCATGACACTCGATCTGGGCAACGTCACCATGAACCTCGCCGTCGATGGCACTCCGATTGGCTATGCTCTCATTCCGAACGTCTTCCTCACGCCTGGGGAGAACAAATTCCCTCTACAAAGCCACGTCGAACAGCTCACTCTTCTGGGCTTAATCCAGGGCAAATACAAGAACGGTATCTTACCGCTTCAGATCGTGGGCAACTCGAGCGTGAAGGGTGACCAGCATCTTACGTACTACGAAGACGCGATCAAGAGTAACACGATCAACCTGGATCTGGATGCCGGGCCGGCGTTGGCTGGTATTGGAATCAACATCACCAGCTTTGGTTCTTCGTAGATTACTTAAGGTCTTCGCAATATCTTTGGGACCTCGCTTCCCAATGTCATCCGGGATAAGTTGAGGAAATGTTGGGGGAGCGGCTGGTCTAACAGCAGAGCTAGAAAAGTCTGTGTCCGTGGACGATGTAGTGGATAATGTATGATACCTTGTCGTTGCAGTAGATAATATTGGTCAAGTTATGCAAAAAGATTCCTTAGTACCTTCGGGTAACGAAGTATGCTGTCTCTTCCATCGATGATTTGAGTTAGCGATACAATGCCTCGATCATTAGCAGATGAAGGCACATATCAAAGCTTAGAGAAACGAATTGAAGAACTACTGATATTTATACTGTAGTGTTACGGTGTATGAGTAAAAACGAGCGACTGGTTGGTCTAACATGTTACTTTCGCACATTTCTCCTAGTCAGGTCATTGAGATTGGCATGATTCACCCTTGATAGAACCCAGTCGTAGTCAAGGTAGGTGTTCCGCAGATTCACGTAGCTCTTGCACTGAATCTGCCGCATCCGTTAAGAACCCTCTCTCAGAATGCTCATACCAGCCAGCTGCTACTTCTTTACTCACGGGAACACTTCGGAACTTTTCCAATGTCGCTACCACATGATGTTCGTGATGTGGCGCACTGGTAGGAGGCATTCGGGAGAAAAGAGATCAACGCGCTTAGCTTTGGCTAACGCGGCTGTGAGGGATAGGCTACCACTCCACGCTCGTCCTCCGGTTCTCCTTTGAACTTCACGCACAACAGTGTCCGGAATTTCGATGTCAAAAGTATACTGATCTCTTGTCATTACTGGTCAGATATGTTATTTGAATACCATCGGTGAGTTGACTTGAAGGTGAGAGACATGGAAGAGATAGGCGGGAGCGAGGCTTTTGTATACTCTGTAAACCTGATAAATGATTTGGTAGCGAGCGCAAAGGTTGTCCTTGACAACGAATGAGACAACTCATCGCCAGCAGCTCACATCTTCCTCCTGATTCCCAGTGACTGCTTTCATTACTCCACCCGACCACCCCCTAACTGTCAATTCCATGATGCAGGAGCCAACCACCGTCTCACTCCCCAGTCCGGAGCTATGAATTCTCTTAACCTTCAATTTCCCATTCGTCGGCAAAGAACTCTGCAATGTTTCCTGCTGCCCGCGGACCCACTGCGCCTTCCAGTTTCTTCATACAGCCGGCCGCACCAGATGCAGCACCCAGAGCTAGTATCGCAAGCTCCTTCAGACTACCCACAACGTCACTTAGAGCAATGACCTGTGCTTCATCCAGTGGCGGCTCAGTCGTGCAGTAGGGGAGTAGAACGTTGACTGCATTGACGACGACACGCGCTGGTTGGCGAGGTGGCAGCACAGAAGCTACGTTGTGAGATGGAAGCGGGATCCGGGCCTGGTGTTGTTGCTGAAAGTAGAGCTGGGTACTGTGCTGAATGTAGCCTATTGCGCTGTTGGTCATACGGGAATAGTGGTCGTTTGCACCGTCTAATTGGGCGGAGACGACAACGTTGACAGGATGGGTAGTAATGTCTGGTGGATACATGTTTGGAACTGCGGAGCGCTCCTTCTCATTTAAGATAGGTTTGGTCTTGTTGGTATAGTGTGAAACGTTCATGATGAGCGCAGGCGTGAAATGGTTCCGGTATCGATCGCTATAAACGTGACGTTAAAACAAATCAGTTCGCGTGGTCGTCAGAGGTGAGAGGTGAGAGATGAGAGATATGTGCGCTCGTTGTATATGTAATCGTCCCTGATGCTGTGGAGCTGAGCATGTTGTTGTGGAAGGCACGTAGACAGAGACAGATAGAGCGACTAAGGGGGCATGAACGGGCCATAATAGAGACAGCTTATCAAAGAAAGAAGACTATTTGAGGTGTCTCTTTTGGATCTGATACATGCTTGATACATCGATGTAGACAACAATATCCTAGAAGCAACTGGATACATCCACAATATGCGTCATGAATCACAAACCGGGGAGGAGACTGTGAACCAAATGCGTCTATTATGCCGAAAGGGTATCATGAGAGGAGATGATCGTAACGAAGTTTTTGATAAACCACAACAAGACGGGCCTCTAAGCTCGACCTGAGAGGTACAGGATCGCCAGCCTGCGAGTATTTACGCTTCCCGGGTATACATTCCTAAATCCTTATGCTGGGTTGGTTGCGTTGTAGGCGTCCCATTCGCAGTTTGCGCAGCATCGCCTTGAGTCTCGACGGGCGCCGGCTTCGCCTCGGTGCTCACAGCTTCAATCTTGTCGTCTTCCTTCTTCCCAGTACCCTTCCAAAACCCCAGTAGCTTTGACGACACTGGCTCTGGATGTTTCGCTTTGAACTCCTCAAACTCTGCCTTGACCGCCTTGAGCTCAGCCTGCACCTCCTCCAAATCTTCCCTTATATCGTCTCTGGCATTCTTGGCCTTTCTTCTTTGCCGCCATTGCTCAACAAGAATCACAGCAATACCGACGGCGAATATGAAGGTTTCAGCAGCGAAGTTGGCACCCATCTCGATGGCCTTTTGTTCGGACAGAGGTCGTATGCGTGGCTTGATCCTCTCCTCAGCCTTTTTCTTGATCGCATCTCGTTCCTTCTCTGTGAGAGCTTCCTCTGCCTTCATTTCCTCTTCGGTGAGGACCGTGGGTGCCGCTGCTTTTTTGCGCGCAGCCTCTGCTAGGGCGACTTCTTTCTTGATTTGCCTGTCTATGACAGCGGGGTCCTGCAGCAGGCCGAGGCGCATGCGCATATCCACGCGATGCAGGCCTTGGGCGAATTTGACGCATATTCGACGAAATCGGTCGTGTTCGTGGGCATTGCGTTTGATGGCGTTCTGGACGACATCAGCTAGGGCTATACATGTCAGAAGCTAACGAACGTACTGCTACGGGCTTTGCGAGAGTCCGGACGAACAGCGACGTAACTTTGAGCGTGAGAGACATAATCGGTTACGAGAGCGTTTCGGAAGGCTGTGGGGAGGTATGGAGGTAATTGACCGGCGAGCGGTTTTTCATTTCAAGCCTCATACGAACAGACACATGTAGAGAGCTGGACAGCGGTTCGTGGTTAAATCAACGGTGGTGTTGAACATAGCTGCAGGTTCGATGTTCAAATCGATGCTGCCTTGGGCTGGCCGGAGATCCACCGACGGCAATGGCTTTTGAGAGTGGGACTAGCATCTCAGCGACGACGCGGGACGCATGACGAGATGCATGGACAGCTCACAGTACTAATTCAAAACAGTCTTGGTTTGTCCTGCACCATCTCAAGTGCAAGTTTGTGCAAGGCCGCGTGCATCGAGCGGACAGTGCCGGGCACCGATTGGCCGACAGCCCTAGCAACGACGCTAAGCGGGCCCTTGTTTACATGCCATCAACACTCTGCGACCTTGTTCTCGATTCCATCATCTCTCCAACTACCACCACCACGCCAATGTCTGCCTCGTCGATACACGCAGATGCCCCGCCGGCCGTGGTCCAGGATCCAGAGGGACTCCAATATGAAACGGGAGCACAGCTCGGCAAAGGCGGCTTCGCTATCTGCCATCGCGCGAAGCTGCTGGGCCATGAGCATCTCGGCAGCTCTACAGTCGCTCTGAAGATTGTCAAATCCAAAATGGAGCCTCCCAAGCTGGCGCAAAAGGTACAGAGAGCCTGGACACGGTGGACGCATGTTTGCTGACGCGCCTCAGTTTGTTACTGAATTACAGATCCACTCGAAGCTATCCCATCCCAACATCGTCGAGTTCTTCCGCGCCTTTTCTTTCGAATCAAGCACCTATGTTGTCTTGGAGCTATGCGAAAACGGTTCCCTTGCCGATGCGATCAAGAAGCGCAAATATTTCACCATGCCTGAGATTAGGCGATTCATGATCCAGACATGCGGCGCAATCAAATACCTACACCAACGGAACATCGTACACCGCGATCTCAAGACAGGCAACCTCTTCCTCGACCGCGACATGAACGTCAAAGTCGGCGACTTTGGTCTTGCAGCACTATTGGTGTCACAGAGCGACTATGGGGCGATCCGTCGGACAACCATGTGCGGCACACCCAACTACCTTGCCCCAGAGGTCTTGGAGAAGACAGGAAAGGGTCATGACGAGAAGGTTGACCTATGGGCTATTGGAATCATGATGTACACACTGGCGGTCGGAAGAGCGCCATTCCATGCCGCCAAGCGCGAGGACATTTACCGGAAGTTGAAGGCTCGCGAATACACTTGGCCAGACCTGGCCAGGTTTGCCAATGAAATCACCGACGACCTCCGCGACATCGTTTCGTTATTGTTGGTGCACGAAGACGAGCGACCGACTCCCGACCAGATCGTAGCGCACCCATTCTTCAAACTGGGCTACATTCCGTTGGAACTAGACAGTGGATGCACCTCCCGCGTACCGAAGTGGCCGAAGAACCGTCCACCGACAGCATCGACAATCAGACGTGGATATACCGAGGAATGGTGGCAGCTTTGCAAGTCCTCGTCCGTCGGCGAGTACGAACAAGGAAAAGCATTTGGAACCTACGGTCGCAGGACGAACAAGACTGTCGCGAGGGACTGCCAAAAGGAGATCGAAGCTGGCAAACAGCCAAACATACCCTTCTCCAAAGACGTCGTATATGTACCTTTCCCCGCCCGCGTGCAATGGCCGCATCTGCCAACAGGAGGACTCAGTGAAATATCGGAAGAGAAAGAATCGTCACTAGAAAGTCAAGCTCTCTCAGAAACTACCGGAAACGAGCGGACAAAGAGTCGTGTGGCTAGGGCTCCGAGACGAGAGCAACAGGCGATGCAGACATTAAAAGAAAACGTGGAGCCGGTACAGGAGCCTGAGCCTGCGCACAGAATACTGGACAAACAGCCGACCCGATTAAGGGCAGCGCGCAAGATCTCGAACCCTGGCCGTGTCACTGCGAATACGGCTTCCGCGCCAGCTCCCCTACGCGTCCCTCGAGAGGCAAGAACTTCCACGCGAGCACGGACAGCGAAGGAGAGCGCAAAAGAGGCACCAAAGACGACATCAAACGGACTGCCTGATCTCCCACCTTTACGAGTCACCAAGACGAGCGTTGAAGAGAGCGACAAGCCGGAATCAGCGGCTCAAGCAACGTCGACTAAAAGTGCCGCTCGTTATCGAACCGTCAGCAATGACATGCCTGCCACCGATCCGGTGACTGTTTTGGCGCGCTTGATGACGTTCCGAGACAATCTTGAACGAGCTCTCGATAAGAAGCCTACGAAGTCGAGAAGAGACCAACCACCGCAGTTGCCATTTGTTGCAAAATGGGTAGACTACAGCCGCAGGTATGGGGTTGGATACGTCCTCAATGATGGTAGTATTGGAACTCTCCTCTCAGCAGAGGAGCAGTACCCCGTTACCATCGCTTTTGCGACAGACGGATACAACCATCTACGGAAGGCCGGCGGCAACCGAGAGCTCGCCAAAAGCGTTGCACTGAATTACTACACGACCGTCAAGAAGGATCGAGGACTGTCGCAGATTGAGGTACTAGAATCGCGACGAGTTGAGGAGATTCGGACTGTTTGGCACAAGTTTGGAAAGTACATGTGTGCGACGTTTGGTGACGAAGAAAAGCCGCTCAGGAAAGATCCCCGCGTAAACTTTGTTCGATTTTATCAACGCCTGGGTAACGTCGGGATCTGGGGTTTCGACGATGGCTCCTTCCAAGTAAGTGCTTCTGATACGTACACCAAAGCTCATCTAACAGTTCCCCAGTTCAACTTTCCTGATCATACGAAGCTCGTTCTATCGTCGGACGCAGGCTATGGACATTTCCTTTGCCTACCACTTGATGCAACGTCTCTCCTCGAAGAGACGGGAAATGTGCCATGGAAGCACGTTAAAGCTCGAGCACATCTGCGAGGCTCATTGCAACAGCTTCTATACGGCTCAGCCGACAAGGAGGACAGTTACAAAGAGCTTACAGAGGGCAATCTCCTCCGCGCAAAGATCGAATTCATCTACGCTGTGGTCTCGGAGTGGTGTCAAGAGGGAGGATTAGGCTGCCTCGTGGATCCCAAAGTGTACTCTTGGGGGGGTCCCCAGCTGGAAGAGTCAAAGCGTTTGGACTGGGCGAGTGTAGGGCGTTTTGGTGGTGATGTTTTCTCATGATGATTGAATGACCAGCTTCAAGGCTAAAGCGATGGCGTTTGTGGGATTTGGGATATTTTTATTAGGCACTGGGCATTTCCATGGCGTCTGTGCTATTGAGCAGTGCTGTTCGCTTTCGTTCGAACACTCATTCATGACGGATTGCATGTTGGGGCGTTTCCTCGTAGCGATAACCTTGAATACGACTGAACACGCATCTGGTCACGAACACCAAGATATTGGTGCCTAATGCCTAAAACTGTGACACGTCACGAGAAATTAAGCGTACGCGGCAGACTCGGGCTGTCCTTGTGTTGCGCCTCTGCTGCGACAGTGATTGATGCGGAAGCTGGGCCGAGCCTGGATGGGTCACAGCGACGGTGATTGAATGGTGCAACAACGTGAGCGTCGGCGGTGATGGTGGAAGCAATGCAACCATGATGAATAACAGTCTCACCTGTGCAGGACGGCAGGCAATGGAGGTGAGGCAAGATTACGAAGATATTCCAGCCGCCGCGGCAGCGTACGCGTACTTCGTACTGGAATAACTGTGGCTGTGCGGAATGGGGCGAGTACCCATTCCGAAGCGCCCGATTCCACGTCCAGGGCTCTGACGTTGGCCTGTCTTCAACAACCGCATTGCAGCCATCCTTAGACACCCACACCTTGGAGCGGCTGCTCTTTCCATAGCGACCCTACCTGGCTTTGCCGTCTATTGTTTGAATATTTGCTGCACCCTGGACTCAGCAGCACACTTACTACCCCACTGGCCGGCTTAAGCTACAGGTCCCAGCTCGACGTCGGGCACCAATCATGGTAAGAGGCACAAGGACGTGGATGGAGGAATATCTGCTCACACATTCCTGGTGTAGGGGAAAACCAACCGCGCCGCGCGCAAAGCCGGAGGAGGCGCCCAGCCAAAGGCCCAGTTCGCAACCAAGGCCGTCTTCGAGACCACCAAGAAGAAGGAAGTCGGTGTGTCGGATCTTACCTTGATTAGCAAGGTCTCCAATGAGGCCATCAATGAGAACCTGAAGAAGCGCTTCGAAAATGGCGAGATATACGTGCGTCGACCCGCTTGCGCCAGCCCCGCGTCGCACACATGTGCAGCGATAGACAAGGACAACGACTGACTATGGGCGCAGACATACATTGGACATGTGTTGGTCTCGGTCAACCCGTTCCGCGACTGTACGTACGAGGATTTGCGCTTGCGAGAGGGATGCTGACAAGTGGCAGTGGGCATATACACCGACCAAGTGCTGGAGAGCTACAAGGGCAAGAACAGGCTGGAGGTGCGGTGTTTATCCCTCCACCGGCACGCAGAGCTAACGAGAGACAGGTGCCCCCTCACGTCTTCGCAATCGCCGAGTCCGCCTACTACAATATGAACGCATACAAGGAGAATCAATGTGTCATCATTTCTGGCGAATCAGGAGCAGGAAAGACAGAAGCAGCGAAGCGACTTATGCAGTACATCGCCAACGTCTCAGGAGGCAGCAACTCGTCTATCCAGGAGATCAAGGACATGGTGCTGGCCACCAACCCTTTACTCGAATCCTTCGGAAACGCAAAGACGCTGAGAAACAACAACTCGTCGCGGTTCGGAAAGTACCTCGAGATCCACTTCAATGCGCAAGGAGAGCCAGTGGGAGCAAACATCAACAACTACCTACTTGAGAAGACGCGGGTGACTGGTCAGATCACAAACGAGCGCAACTTCCATATCTTCTACCAGTTCACAAAAGCCGCATCCTCGCAATACAGAGGTATACTACACCTCCGTAGACCCTTAACCTGTGCTGACACGAACAGAAATCTTCGGCCTACAACAACCGCAAGCCTACCTATACACGAGTAAATCTAAATGCTTCGACGTCCCAGGAATCGACGATCATGCCGAGTTCGACGACACGCTGAATGCCATGAAGGTCATTGGACTACCACAAGCTGAGCAGGACAACATCTTCCGAATGCTTGCAGCAATTCTGTGGCTAGGAAACGTAACGTTCCGTGAGGATGATTCTGGCAACGCAGCCATTGTGGACCAGTCAGTCGTGGATTTTGTGGCTTATCTCCTCGAAGTAGACTCGGCGCATGTCAACAAAGCCCTTACCATTCGTGTTATGGAGACGAGTCGAGGAGGACGACGAGGTTCCGTATATGACGTACCTCTGAACTGCGCGCAAGCGGGCGCAGTCCGAGACGCGCTATCAA